GAAGGAAATTACAAATTTTCCTAAAATATAAAAATTGGCGCAATCAGCAATTTGACAATTTCAATATGGAAATAACGAAAAACAAATCATTTACAATAGACTGATGAGTAACTTATTTGCTGTTATAAGTGATAATTGTTGATTCCGCGATGAGATGAATATGAGAGAATTAGGGGATTTCTGAATTATTTCGCTGAATTCAAAACACGATATAGAAATCATTATCACCACTCTACCAGTAGTTGACATAATCATCAACCTCATTGAGATATTATCATTCAACTATGAGAGAATCCCAAAAAACCCCAAACCTACACAGTATTTAAAATTGAAAAGGAATATTCTCAGATATAATTATGAACATAAAAACATGGATATATACAGGGTGACATAGAAAAAAGTACATTGCATAGTGCCACACAATAGAGGATACTAAAATAAGAAAAAAAGTTCCTATGAACATGGGTCCGCAAGGCCTTCAGTTGAAAGATACGGGGTGTTGAATTTAAATTTTTTTTTAGGTTTTCTTTGAATATCTTCAGCCAGAGACGCAAGAAATGGATAAAATGTGGTATACAGGGGTTTTTTATAATGCTAAATTCAAATATGATCTTAGTTTTGTGATGACTGATAGAGGACGCTACATACAGGGTTCCATCCCTATTGAATCGGTCGTAACTTTTTTGCTATACACTGTATGTCATTTTAGACGGAAAAAAATTGTTATCCCTTCTTTTATACTCAAGAAAGGTATACTTTGTCCAAGTCGCTAGAAGCAATGATTCCAGTACAAATGCATCTAAAAGCCGACAATGCACGCAAATTATTCATAAAGCGCCAAAGTAAATTTGGAAAAAACAATGAGAAATACTTCAACAATTACATTTTAATGGTATGATGAAAAATATGATTAATTAGAACAAAACATTAAGTTTTTAGAAGATGTTCAAATTGTTGCACTTCAATACATTTTTCCATTAAAATTCAACACCCCGTATCTTTTAACCGAACGCCTTGCGGACCCATGTTCATAGGAACTTTTTTCCTTATTTTAGTGTCCTCTATTATGTGGCACTATGCAATGTACTTTTTCTATGTCACCCTGTATATATAAAGAAATACAACTACTGTCCTGGCTATATGCCTCGACGAACATTGAATTATATCTGTTGAACATCCAAAAAGAGAGCATGAAAGATGAAAAACCTCTGAAATTGAGAATTAACATCATCTCTCAAATAGGATAAAATAATATGATGTATTATGATATAAAAATATAACTTACCAGTATGTTCAGTATTTAAATGAAAATTGAAATGTATATGAGGAATATACTTGTATAAACTCTGATTTTGATGAGCTTGGAACTACAAAAAAAAAATCATTCGTATCAGTGATATGGAAATTATATCACTCACAAACAGGTTATATGACTTCACTCGAATAAATTCATTTCGGATATCAAATCCTCATCAGTAACCTGAAGTCCAGTCATTCTTTCAGCCATTCTTCATGATATACACAATTTTCATCTCCCTATAATATAACTAAACTGTAACGAACTGACATCTGATAATTATGATTATCAGAAAAAAAATTTAAAATACTTTTCACTTGCTCTTCTTATTGTTCTTATTTCCAGATCTCTTTATATCAATTACAACGAACTGAGAACATGAAACTGTATAATTTATGATATTATAATGTGATGGAGTTGTCACTATAGAAGAAATCTAATTCTTAATTTGAAGTCATTTGACCTTGAACCCCAAAAAAAATTTCCCTGAGGCGCATTTTCACCGTACTATTTGTATATGGGCGAAACTGATCAGATGGATCAAAATATCAGTTATTACCGTATAGGAATTCGTAATGGCCCCTATATAATCACTTGGATATCAGACGTAGCTATGCAGAATAGCTGGAATTTAACAATGACAATGTGTTCAAAATGTAATGAAGGTATGTGTTAAAATCGCAAAACATGTATCACAAGCGCCTAGTGTTGCCATATGGCAACAGCAAATTTTTGGAAAACCTGAATTTCATTTATGATTCTTTATACTTTTCTCGTCTCTCGAAAGCATTTCACACTAGTTAATGGTCATAAAATATCAAAAAAAAAAAGGAAAAAATATAAATCTAACTCTTAATTTGAAGGCATTTGACCTTGAACCCCAAAAAAATGTCTTGAGGCCCCTGGTAAACTTGTTTGAATAGATGTACGCTGGTCAGTTCTGCCGAGTTTTGCCATCTCTTTTGCCCAAAGTCCGTGTGATTGCCTGTACGAATGAATTAAAAACATTTTTGCAACGAAAAAACCGTTTAATTGTTTTATTGAGGGCCGTGATCATCTCCTGATCTGATGGACATGCCGACAGACAGACGGATCTGCCTGCGCCCTCTGGCTTGCCTGGTTTAGAGAAAAATCCATCGTCCATTCCCAAGGGTTTGTATGGACGTTCTCCATAATTTAAATGGGTTGGAAAGCCATTTTTTCATTTTTTTTTCTTCGATGAGAGTTCGCTTCGTTAGAGGCGACAGCTGAGCGAAGTCGATTTACATTTTTCCTGAACATTTATAGGATCCTAAAGTAAATATAGAACGCCGAAGCTTGCTCTCGTATTTTTAAATTTGCTTTAAAGTGGCTTTTCATATTTTCATTGAGCCATGTGTCAATTATCATTTTCAAACTATTCAAGACATCTCTTAGTGCTGCACACTCGAAAATAAACAAGCCATCATTTTATTACGTTTTCGAAACTGATTTTTCCTATTCTAATACCTATAATATTTCATTGCATTGATTGTCATATTTATTTTTTTACGAAAAAAGAAATGTGTCATGTAGAAATATCAAATTGCTCCAAATTTCCAGGTTTGGGAAAGAGTCCATAATGCAGCTATTCAACAAACACTGCAATTCATTCATTTTACAAAGAAGCGCTGAAAGCAATCGAAGATCGGTATAGTCTCATTAGAATATTCTGTGACCTCAGTCGAGCCATTGATTGCATTCAGCATTATATATTGTAGGATAAATTATATAGAAGTGGTATAAGAGGATTACCATATAAGTGGATGAAAACATACCTGACAGACAGAAATGAAATTGTGAATATCAATTACTATAATTATAAAAATACAAAAAAACAGATGTCATCGGCTTTAAATAGCATAATTGGAGTTCCACAAGGATCAGTGTTGGACCCAGTACTTTTCATTATTTTCATCAACGAGCTGCCAGATCTCAAGGAGACGTTTGTCACAATATATGAAGATGACTCAACCTTTCTATTCAAAAACAAAACATATGAAGGTCTCAAAGATAAAGTTGGCACAACAATTAATCAACTTTGTAACTGGTTTAGTGGAAATTCTTTATATTTCAATGCTTCTAAAACAAGCTCATCAGTTTCCATACTCAACAAAATAATAAACAAACTAATATTGAAATTTCAATTCGAGAAAAGGGAATAGGAAGATATGACAAAACGGTATTTCTGGGTATCAACTTTGATAGTACCCTAGAATTTAAATCTCACTGGCAAGCTTATTGAATAAAAAATGCTGTCAAATCAGAACCTTGAAAACAGTACTGAATACGGATAACCTTCTATAATGCTTTTTTGGAGAAGTGCAGTCTAGACTGATTTATGGTATAACAATGGGTGGCACTTCATATTCACGAAGTGTTATCAACGTGCAAAAACGGATCATCAGATGCATTGATGGAGCATCACCGACACAGTCATGTAGACCTTTTTTTATGTAAAATTCTACCTCTCGCAGGAATATACATTCTTGAGTTACTAGTTTATGTGCAGATGCATGAAGTTGAATTCATTTAATGTTCATGATTTCCACACTTCCAATATAACAAAATTTCATATCCCATTTGAACGTATAAACCTAACAAAGAGGGCTACAGACATATTAGGGCTTGGTGTATAATGCTCTACCAGAGAGAATCTCAGGAAGCCAGGAAATGATAAATTGTTCAAGAGACAACTTCAAATGTTTATTTTAGAAAAGTGTCCATATTCTGTGGACGAATTTATGTTATCTGTTGAGTGATGTTCTGTTTATTCCTATTTTAAAATGTTGACTTGTCCTATATCATGTACCCTGTGATCGACTGGATCAATAAATATGACTATGACTAAAGGCGATAGAGAATGACAAAAAATAGTATATTGTTTAACGAGCACGGAATGATAGTCATTTCCCACGAGAATACAAGTAGGAAAGAATATTGTTCGCTTCCTTTGGAATCGAATGAAATCGTTGTTAGTTGTATTATGCATTAGTATTTCATGAATTCATGTTTTTGGGGTTAGTGGTTGAATAAACAAAAATAGAAAAAAACCCAAAACTAACCTGAAAGATAATAATCATAAGACAATTATTATCACTGTAACAATAAATATCACAAGATCACAGGATAATCTGGAATTTCCTATGATTGCCAAATTATTTTCTAATTATTCCCGAGAATTTCCCATGAATTTACCCAATAGTTTCAGTGACTTTCTGGACAATATCTCCCTAGTATTTCAAATCCTGGAAATCCAATGATTTCCAATGTTTTTCCGAGGATGTAAAATGGGGACATAGTTCTGTTCTCTGAGTAAACCGGAATAATTTTCAATTTATTTCTGGAACAACCAATAATTTCCCAGGACCTCCTAAACACTATTGAAAATTGCCTATGCTTCTCTTGTACTACCTAACGATTTTTTATGATTTCTTGCCCAAAGGTTGTAGGAAGGTCTAACCTCTCATGAATTAAGCCGAATTTTGAAATGTGAGCAATTTTATATTTCACCATGCACATCTGTGCTATTTCGAAAATAGGAAAAAATCCTACGTTTCAAATTCTGACAAAATCATGCAGTGCTTTATTTCGAATGTCGAGCACTTTAGCATACCTGAAAAATGTATCAAACGGATACGGGATTCTAGATGCTCGATCTACATAGTTCGGCGACTTGTTCCAGGTGTCATGCAGGCAGCTATGTGTAGCGGAGGCAAAGTGGAGAAGCGCTACAGCCCTAGTTTCCGAGATGACCATGGAAGAGCAAAAAGTGACCGCAAGAGGAAGAGAGAAGAAGTGTTCAAGTGAGTTATTTTCAATTTTACTGTGTTATAATTCAGGGCCGGCATCTCCCATCCACCAACATAAATTACTAACTAGACCGCTATTGCCATAAGACCAAAGCTCATGGGGGTCATGACCCCCCATAGCGAATCTCATGATGTAAGAATCTGTGTATGTAATTTTGAGAGAACTATCTTTTTTTTCTACATTTTTATCCAATATCGAGTATTTAAGTAATATTTGACAAATGAAACATTCACCGCAGTCCGAATTGAGCTTATTGTTTTGAGCGTGCTAGTATTAGACACTGCTGGTCCGAATTAGTTTGCACGCTTTGACGACTATTGATTTGGACCGAATTTTGACTTGTCTGAGTCCGAAACATTTCACGTCACTAGATTTTCAAGAAAAACATATTATCTGCGGGGATGACTGCGAGTTTTCCTATTTCTTCTCATTTAAATATTATTATGTCTACCTTTCTTTATTGAATATCATTCGAATTGTAGCGTTCGTAAAGGCCCCAAGAACAGTAAGAGGAATATTATTCGTCTTCTTCTCATCAATCTCAACCTATTTTGTCGAACACAATCCCTCAAATGTCTCTAACACTCATCGACTTTTCGATTCCTGTGCCATCATAATTAATTGAATTTACTTCACGCCTTAAACCTAACAACAAACAAACAATTTTTGTTAGATTAATAGGTAGGTACTAATAGCTATTTATATATCAAGAGAGCAAAGGTATCAACTTCCACGCGCGTGTGAGGTTTGATAGTCGACGCGTAACGGTGGGCATTAAACACATGGGAGGAAAGAACCTTATATATTTGAGATGGTCGTTCTCAAAATTGTGCTTCAAGCAGTCTATCTCTCGAGTCTCGATCCAAATCAATGTGTTACATGATCTAAGGTTAAAATTGATAGTATTTGAATCGAATGAAAATCAATTTGACACTTCTGTCACATTGAATTTGTTTATTGTGTAATTGCATTTAATTTAAAGTTTCGATTGAGTGAGTTTGGAATATGAGGAGGTGTATATGAGATCATTGGAGTTCAAAAAGGAAATTGTTATTTGTTTTACAGTAGATAGATCTTACAGGTAATTCTTTTTCCTCCCGTGGAAGTAAATGACAGGTTTCTATCCTCAAATGAGGGAGCAAAACTATACTTTCGATGCAGTGAGTAGATTAAATACTTTTTTCGAATTTCAGTTTCACTATTCGACATTACCAACGACAACCTTGAACCCATTGAATAATGAACTCTGGTTTTGTTATTAGTTATTGAATAGACGAATCACGAAATTACCCCTACTGAGTAAAATGCGGCTTTTTATCTTAATGCAAAGTCAGTTGAACCGATCATCAAACGAATGTCGGGCCGCGCTGCCGCACTCTGAACTTTCAAAGGGACCGACGGCTTGCGGTGATTTGTTTTTCTTTTTTACTTTGCATAAACTATACCGCAGCCGCTTTTGTATTGTAGCGTCCAAGGCACAGCTGACGCTTGATTAGTGAAAGTTATGATTTTCACAAAAACAGTATCCCATCCTGGTCCTTTTGATGCAGTGCCGTGTCGGCGGTCGCTAATTTCGCGTATAAAAAGCTAGAAGCAATATACTATACTTGTCGCCTCGTAGCATTGCTGCTATTTTATCGTATCATGTGATTTTATCACGATAATTCTATTGGCTTTCAGAATGCGCGTCCACCACACCGGCAATCCCAAGGACGTGCTGAAGAGCATCTCGCAAGCGGACAACACGAACAAGCAGTACTTCCTCATGCTGGAGAACATAACGTCGCGGTACTCGCGGCCTTGTATACTCGACCTCAAAATGGGCACCAGGCAACATGGCGACGACGCGACGGCCGACAAGCGCAGGAAACAGATGGCCAAATGTGCGGCGAGCACTTCCGCCTCGCTGGGTGTCAGGTAATGATCTGTTTTTCTTAGAACTTACCATCACTTTTATTCCAGTTTTTTTTTCATTTTATTCTACGAGGTTCATCTTAGACGATTCAGGGCTTCGCTCATATGAACTGTTAGTGGTGAACTATCGCAGAAACAGTATTGCCAGCTGTTGAACATGAAATGTCGCAAAAGGATACGGAGAAACCGCTAGAAGTCGCTGTAGCGAGCGAAGCGAGCAGAAAGGCTGCCGCAGGCAAAGTTTATGAAAATGTATCGAATTTTTCGTGATTTAGCGAAATTTTTCATCAAATTTCTGCATTTTCAGTTGGTTTTCAAATAAAAAAAAACAAAATCATTAACAATTCTCCTATAAAATTCAAAGTGGTAAATCACAAAATATATTTCTGGGTCGCATTCGAAGTACCTATTTCTTCAATCATATCACACATTTATAAACCTGACAAACCATGTCAACTCATATTCCTAGCTGTTCAATATCATACATATATCAGCGTTTTCAGTGCAATAAGTGGTTCCATTAATTAGTTTGAATACTGATTCAGGCGAAATAAAATCTCTAAAAGCATTGCAATTCCTCAAACAATATTGAATAATATACAGAATATTATTCAAAAGTGGCAGATGTGGCACAAATGGGAAGAACAAACCCTGTCATCTGTCATTCTCTTCTCTCCTTATATTTTTCGACACGTCGCAAATCAAGTTGTAATGTCACATTCACCTACCTTGAACATTCTAGATTTAGCGACAAAACTGCTAAGATGGCAACCCTGCACAGAAACACGCCAACATTCCCAACCAGTACTGTCAAGTAGTTTAGACTGTACTGAAATTACTGTTATCTGTTGGTTGATAAAGAGGTCTACAACGCAGGTGTCCCTACTGTTAAAAACTTGAAATTTCACGTCGATAATTTTCAGATTTCAAAATAATGTGATATCTTCTCAATATTGATTCGTCCTTTCTTCTTTCACAGCAAAAAAAGTGTATTATACACGGGAAAAATGTTAGATTTCAGCTCCACGTTGTGTTGTCTCCCGAGCGTACCACTTTTTTCCCTTGTATAATAAATAACTATTTTTATTTTTTATTAGTCATTGCAGAGCCCTATCGATTGGTAGATATAAATCAAATGACATTTCATTTAGTTGACTTTTTTTAATGGAGTTGAAAACCTGTTACAATGTATTTTTTATTTTTCTCCTCGATTTTTATGCTGGTTTAGGGACCAGTTAATTCTTCTTCAGAATATGGCATGGTTCCGTGGGTTCCATAACCTGTGGATATTTGACTTTTACCACACACAATTATTATAGTTCTCTGTAATAACATGCTGTTATTGGTACTCAATAAATTCTATTCTATTCTATTCGTGATCCGATTCGAGTTGTTAATATAGGCCATTAGCAGTCAATTTGAGCGAAGCGAGATCCTGAATGGTCTAAGAGTTTGTCCTCATTCAAAAAGAACCCTAATCTTACGAAGGATTCCCGTCATGTGATATGTTTAGATTCCTGTTATTCAGTGGCAGTCAATTTGATCGAAGCGAGATCCTGAATGGTCTAAGAGTTTGTCCTCATTCAAAAAGAACCTTAATCTTACGAAGGATTCCCGTCATGTGATATGTATAGATTCCTGTTATTCAGTGTGTTTGTTGCTAAAACACTGTGGGGCGCGAATTTCATCAGGAAGTTGTACAATGATCCGCTTAAAGAATTGCGTCAGCACACTGTTTATTGACGTACTACTTGATTCAGGCTTTCAAGGACGCTGTACCCTTTTTTCGGGAGTCGGACGGTTCCGTTAATAATTCTCCTAATAAATGTGCACGCACCCATAATGTATCAAATGCTTCTTTGTGACCAATGAGATGATGAAGTATGGACAATACAATATACAATTCAATCGTCAGATTGAAGGCTTAAAACTAGACAGTTCGAGAAAGAGACATAAGATAAAATGATAATATTTCGATATTACAGAGACAGAAACAAAAAGACTAGGGTGCCGAAAAATATTCTTCTAAAGTATAGGGATCCATTCTCAGTAGGAATTGCTTCAAGTTCGTTCTGAAATTACTGAGTTTTAAAGTTTTTCAATCGACTGGGAAGTTTATCGAAAACTTTGAGTCCAAAGTAATTGGGAGAGTTACGTGTAATATCATATTTACACATTGAAATGTGATAATTGTCACACTGTCTTGTACTTATACCATGTATATTCCTATTAGTAATGAATTTTTCTTTGTTCAAGAATACATAATTCGAATAAAAAACACCAATGACAGTTGAAATGGAAATGATTAGGCTCTTGTCCCATTGGTACATATGAATTTGTCAGGTTTCATGAAGATGACTTTTTCAAGGTTATGCGGCATGCAAGTGTTCCAAGCAGAAACAGACAATTATTTCAAGAAGGACAAGTACTGGGGCAGAGCGCTGAAGGAAGAGGGATTAAAGAACTCCCTGTGCAGGTTCTTCGACAACGGGACCGGCCTCAAAATCTCGGTAATTCGGAAAGTTTTAGCCAAGTTGGGGCAGCTTCGAAGGGTCATCGAGAAACAGAGCTGCTACAGGTTTTATTCTTGGTAAGCTTAAACATAATTTTATCGACGGTTTAAACTCTTCATGTGTACCAAATAAACCGAAATGGTAGAAACCAGGTTTAAGTGAACAGGAATTTCCTTTCACGCCCACAGTTGTTGAAGTTTTAAACTAGAAACCAATACCTTTCTTGATCACAATGCATTGATGACGTGTGGAGCTGAGTAGGACAATTTTATGTCTCAGTAACATGGTAATTAATATATATATCACTTTATTTATACTGCCAAATCAACAGGCCATGGCCCAATTACAGACAGACAGTTCCTATCTCGGTTCCTATCCTACAGTAAAATACACTACTCACAAAAAAAAGAGAAATACACTACACAGAAAGATTACAGTACACTCAAGTTTTGGGAAAACAGTTGAGTTAAGATAAAAAAATCAAGACGTTCATGACTAAACTTTTTCAAAAATATTGAACATATATAGCCTATAACTAAGAATTTTGAGGATATTAAAGAGGTGGAGAACAGCCTTTTATTTCGCTACTACTAAATATAAAAATATCTATATCACAGTTATATTCATTTACAGCTCTTTGACATTTTCCAAAAGGTGAGCAAGATTTAACATCAATGTAGAAAATAATATTTTTTCTTCTCCGTAGTTTTACTTCAGGTACATGAATGTTTATTTGACTAAGTAGATCAGGTACATTCAGTTTATTACTGAATATGTCTGAAACAAACAGCACATCATTGATATCTCTTCGGGACTCTAGTGTTCCTTGCTCAAATTCCATGAGTTGATTTCTGTATGAGATCATAAAAGCAAATTCTTTATGTTTCCTGTAGTAAAGGTTTCTCAGAAATTTCCTTTGTACTTTTTCTATCATTTCAGAGTATACACTGGTGTTGGGATTCCATATAACTGAGGCATATTCTAGTTTAGGTCGTACAAAAGCATTGTATAGTATTCCGGTTTTCCAGTTGAACTGAAATGAATTTCTAAGCACAATAATATCATGAGATTGAATGAAAACTTTATTTTATATTGACTACCACAAGTTACATTTAGCTTTTCGGTTAGTGAACATCATAATAATATAGATTTCCCAAAATTTTTCTTCAAAACGGACTCACATTATGACGAAATAGAGGGAACAATTTGCATACCTCTCCTGTTTCAGCAATAGGAAATCCTCAACTTGTAGAAGAGACATATTTTCTGCAGAGGGTTTTTTTACTCAATGTTTGGGTAGAGCTTATCAATGGTATGCTATCGGCCATTTCCTCTCTCATATAGCAGGTGAAAATTCTTTCGTCACCAACTTTTCTCAAAATATAGTGCGAACATTATGTTATCAGTATGAGTATGAAGACAATGCTTCTTGGGCAATGGACAGTCACTTCATTACACTAGAGTCACTGGATGGTATTAGTTAATTAGTTAGATAAGAGATCGGAAACAGAAATGACAATTGTTAGTGGTTTTGAATGTTTAGATTCATTCAAGTTGTTTGAATTTGACAATAAATACTATGAACGCTCGTATGAACGTCAGAATTGAAATATAATTTCATAAACTATTGAGAAGAAAGCATTAATGAAAATGTCCTGCTGTGTTATGAGTTCTGAGAATTCTGAAGAGAATGGATTTAATTTATTTAACTAGCCAAAGGAAATATCAACCCCATTCTCTAATGGAAGGAATGTCTGAAACGGCCTGGATGGAAAATTGATTTGAAGACAAGCAAAATTCATGAGGTACATAGGTACATTAAAATTCACTTTTCCGTCGACCTCGTATTAACGAGTAAGTTTAATGTATATGAAATCGTTCATTAATGACACCTATTAATAAACGATTTGTCTATTAATGCACGATTGTTTTATAGGCAACCAAACATACACCGCATGCATTCATTGTTTATGCTATAACTTACGGAATCTGCATTTAAATAAAGGAATTTATTTTCTATGTTGATCATTTTGACAAATGTCAAATGTAACTATTGTCAGTGACAAGGCTACTGGGTGATTCTTAGCAGTTTCTATATGAATGATGAATTCGCGAACCAAGTTTTCTTCATTGCAGGAGAAATGAGAAATATAGTCGACGGAAAAATGTTGTAACCAACTTATATTAAAAGGCGATTAATGATCTCGAACATTAATGCGCTCGCTTCGCTCGCACGTTAAAATATCTCGATCATTAATCGCGCTCATTAATACACTAGTTGGTTAAATAACTATTTCAGGTCTACTTTCGAACAGAAGATTTAAAGATCCCTTTGAGAGTATCTGCTGTTCCATCCATTTACGAAACAGACTATTTGAAAAAAGAATCCATTATTAATACAAAAAATTGCAGAAATACAATAAAATTCAAATACCAACTTAAAGAATTTATCATTTCTGAAAGAAATAGATGATTTTTTTTCTCAACTTTTGATTCATACTCAAATTGATTGTTGCTCACCAATATGAAATGATTTGTCAAAATTTAATACTTAATGTTTGCAAATATTATATTATTTATGAGTTTATTATAATTGTATAGTTTTAGGTATTATTGTTAACTATACTTCCTTATACCAGAACTTGATTCTGACTGGAAGTCACATTTTCAATAAATAAATACATAAATAAAATTATCACTCTTAATGCAAAATAAAACTATCATGGAGAAAGATAAATTGATTGCAAACCTACATAATGAAATTGAAAATGTGAGAACGAAACTGCGGAAACCATATGTGTATTTTGTCATTAAAATGTTCTTACATGCATTCCTTTCATATTTATTAATATAAATATTATAAACTGTTATCAACTGTTGTTCTGCGAAAAGTATCGTATTGCTATAAAATTGGAGTGGGTATTTATACCCTATTTCGATTTTCCATCTACCGCTATGATTGACTCAAAAGGAAATCTAACTTCGAAAATCTAATCTGACAATCAGGCGCTATTAGGGAAATTGAAAAGACAAAGAGCAGAATATATGTCTCATTCTTTTATTCACTCAAACCATTGTAATATAGAAACGGACAGAAGTTCAGCTGTGTCCGAACTCGACAATCGAATATGTAATCTATATATAGGGCAACAGTAACACAACGCATCCTCCAGCTGATGGAGTAGTTATTGATTTTTCATTGTAAGAAACATCATCTGCTGACCATTGTAATACTACCGCTGGCGATTTAGGTATTATACTTATATATCGCCAGAGGTAGTATCACAACGGTCAGCAGATGATGTTACTTGAAATGAAAAAAAAATGTAGCTACCCCCAAACACCCTGTATGTATGCCTATCATAGTGTTGAAAAATCGTTACCCTGTACAGAAACTAATACTATCAATCAAGGCACCCGACCCACACACTTGAAAGGGGGATCATTGGGTTCATTACATAACACATCGTTCTCTTCTCAGCTCCCTGCTCATCGTCTACGAAGGCACGCCTCTACAGACACACACCCCCCTCTCACCCCCCAGTCCCGACACACTGAAACCGTTCTGCGACGAAGACTCCCGCTTCTGCTACGACGCCGACACCTCCAACTCCTCCATGAACTCCTCCATGGACTTCAACGACGACTCCTCTCACGACGCCTCGCAAGATGGCTGCCGCCGACCTCGCGCCACCCCTTTCGTACCCATCTCCGAGGAAACGGTGTTCCTCAACTCTTGTCCGAGGCGGGACGTTAGCACCGTCAGCCCAATGTCGGTGACCAGCTGGATGACTTATTCGAACAGCAGCAGCGGCGAGTACTGTCTGCCAGGTGAGAAAAATAGGGACTTGTGGGGCTGTCTGGGTTCATTATTTTCCTTATGAAAATAATTTGTTGCGATGGATAGACACTCTCAGGGCTATTCGACAGTGTCCGATCAAGTTTCATGCATGAATAGCTCTACTTATTTTCACACTTGTGCGGCCCACTTCTCAGGGTACTTAACAGGCCTAGTCAGTAAAAACTCGTTATTTTACGAGTCGTTGGATAACAACTATAGTTTTCCTGATATGTAACGACAATGGGCGTGTACACCTTGGTAGACCTTTTAACTCAATGTTTATAATGATCCTTTTATACATAAATAATGATTGACGACATAATTCGATCGAAAAATTAACTGGAATGTTTTATTTTTGGACATAAATAATAGTACCATCTGAAAACGGACCCTCTTATGACGTAGAAACCTCATCTCGCCATAGTTAAAAGACAGTACCAAAAGCCCGACGGAGACTGAGGCAACTGATATATTAATTCTTTCAACTGTGATCTCGCGCTAATTCACTCTGTCAGAAATCATATATCATTAATCACTGTCTGGAATAGTTTTGTTTCAGTGTTAGGGTTTTGACGTCACATCATCGCCTCGTTTTCAGAGGTCCGAAAAATCGGGGATTTCAATAATTTTTCATAAAACGTAGAGAGCTCACAGCAAGAAACGTTTTTCGGTGGTGAGCTAGTTTGGGTGAGTTCTATGGAATTATGAAATACAAATTTTTTGTGATATAAGCCCATTCGAACGACTTGATGAAAAAATGCATTCTAAAAGATATGTCGTTGAAATATTCGAAATTTAACAAAAAGTATATATTTTCAGAATAGATAGTATGACATGTGACATTATTTGTCATAAATTGACAAATCGTTATGTATATCATATAGATCAGAGATCTTCTACCGAGTCTTCTACTATAATAATTGGAGAAAATAATGTTTCTATGGAAAGTAGAATTGCTTACAGTCACTAGAGTGCTAAAATATTCAAACTGTGATTCATTATCATTTGAATATACGTGGAAGAAATAAATACTCTTTATCAAATCAATATGAACCCACAAACCCCAATATCCTGAAAGGAACTTGAAGTGGTTTGGTTCTATAATTGGATAGTTCCAGAGGCTCAGAGATGGGGAACAGTACCTACGTATTATTTTTATATGGGTTTCGAAAAAAAATTAAATGAGAGAATTTAGAGTTTTGAATAATTCAGTTCTCAATCTACCTATTTTGTAACTTGAAATCATACCCATTTTTAACATATACAATATCTTGAAGATTTGTTTCAGTGAGATGATTACAAGTATGTCTGATATTTCATAGATACATCTGCTTGGGACATAGCCAATGATTTGTCTCATTCAATAGATTTTTGGTAACAACAGATAGGTACAACAGTATGTAGGTACTTTTGGATTATATTTTCAACAACTGATGGTATATACTAGTATTCCTACTGGCCTTCTTGGGATGCTGCAACATATTATGAGAGAATACCCCCAAACTATAGCTCTCTGGGTAACCGACAATCCTCCCGAAAGTTTCCTTCATAGGACTTTCGCATGGTTTACTAGCGTCCCTCAAGCGTCTTCAAATTTTCATCCACATGTCTGAATCGGAATAAACGGTGAATATGAACAAATATTCATATTCAACTCCTCTAAAACCCTTCTGAAAATTCAAAACGACTGACTGGATCCATCTCCACCAGAAAACCGATGGATGCGTTCATTGTTTTTGTGTTCATGTTATCCTACCGATACTCTGAATAGCTATCGTCTATAAACGATGTTCTGATGACAGCTTGTCGTTCGTTAGTGAATTCGATTCAAGAAAATTATCGTTATTTAACGATATGTCATTCACTAACGACACGTAACGATAACGTTATGAGATACTGAATAGGCCTGTTATGGTGCTTGTTTCTACCGTTAGGACAGGTTTTGTCGAAGTATCAAAGTATACGAATTATTTGCCAACCAATTTGATTGACTGCCCAATTTGGTTTGTAGTAGAGTTCCTAAATGTACTTGACACTGCTGTTTTGACGTTTTTTGTATATCAGAGTACGAACACTATGACGAGCACTGACAATCAGACATAACCACAAATAAATTGATGGAAAAAGCGGGAACTGACAGTACACGGACGTACATGACATAAATTTCAAAGGTTTGACAAATTGAGAGAATTATGAGAAAGATGCAAGTTTGTGCAGTTTCCAACTATGAGGACACGGTAAATCAATTCACTCTATTCGAATTTTCATCGGATAACGTAATTCTACAAAAATGGAAACAGAATATGATGCAGCAGGCATGAAATATAGGTTCAGGCCACAAATTTTGCGAGGTATTCAAATTTCTTGGTAGGATATAGAACCTTTTTCATCGCATTCTTTCCAGGTTCACTTCAGAACGGAAGTTTTGATGTTGAAGAATAGGATTGTATTGAGAGAAAGAGCCGAACTCACAATTCATAAACTGGGCGAGTATTGAAAAAAACCTTATTCCAATTTAAGACCAACAAGAAACGAAAAACTTGCAAGATATTATCAGAGCACAGAACAAGAACGCTTAACGAGTGCACCATTTATGTTAGGTATTGAAAATGATCTTCCGATGGCCAAGTTTAAACAATCCCCTTTGGCAATGTGAACGGCGATCTATAGTGAGTCGAGCGCTGAAGTACATTTATAACTACTTCCGTATGTCTTGAAGAACCTTTATTATTTATCCTAACTGAAATCAGCTGTTATTGTTGCCATATCATTTGTTCATTTATCAATCACTTATTATCCACCACTCTAGTACAAATGAAATTGTTCCATACGAAATAAAAGTATGTTTCATTGGTTGAAATTTATCAGTTTTTATCCCATCGTTGGTATATATGTACATACCAACTTGATATCGACCTCCATTGAGGTCCTTCAGCCTTATCATTCAATATTTCGAGAAGAAATTATTTTCTAATCAATTTATCGTACCCTTTTTCCCACTCGAGGAGACGCTATGCACTCTCATATAAAATCAAAGACAGAGAAAGATATATGGATGTACTCTTCCCAGGACTTGTGGAGGAAGGAAGATGCGAGGATCCTTTATCTAAGCGAAAAACATATTCTTGTCCTTGTCTGGCAAAACATATGATTTGCTTCAAAATCGTTTGATTGTCACTGCCAAGCACATTTAGGAACTCTAGTTTGTAGTAGGTTCATGATAGCGACGGAATACTATGTGTAATAATAGAGCTGGCTATAGATCATCTTCAACTATTTCTTCTACAGAAATCTGTTTCTCCACTAGTACTGATGTTGCTGTTTCTTATATTTATTCTTCTCCTTTAATATAGTATACCAAGTTTAATTTTTTCTCTACAGGGGATAAGAAAAAATTGATATGAATCAATTTTTTTCGTACTTTTGACACCCTGTATGACAGAGACGGCGCATTTTAGGACACGTTGATAGGAACTTTTCACCTCGATCTGAGGTTAGGAATCCATATACGAAATTTGTCGGTCTTAGTCTGACTCACCCTGTATATATTTCGAATTCATAGCTTCGCTTCTTCTAAGGAGAGAATTTAACCCTAATATGCATTATACATTTAAAATAACAAACCCATATCAAGCACCCAGTTAGATATAGATATTGCCTTGAGGAAGTTTCAACAAATTCTTGACTGATGTGGCTTTCAAAAAAAGCCGCTAAAAGTGTATAATCTACAATCCACAAACACATTTTTATAGTTTTCTTGTACAACTACTATAGTTTTCAATTGTGTACCTAACAACTGAGTCAATTGAGGATCAGTTTCATTTGAACTTGAAAAAAAAAAGATTCTTTTTGAGTGTAAGTCTTATTTTACTGTCTTCTTTATTTTATTTTGTCAAATATATGTATGTATTCACTATGTTCCCTGCTATAAACAAATGTTGTTTCTTGGGAATAATAAAGTTGATTGATTGATGGAAAAAAAAATTGTTTTTACAACTATTCATCTATGGTATACATGATATATTGATCATGTATTCTAGTTGAAAGGTTGAAAAAAGGTACAAAAGATCTTCGGGAATCTAACTTTTAACTAACTAACTTTTAAACCCTTGAAGTCTACCTTTCGGAGAAAAACAGAAACATTTTAATAGGTATCTCAAAAAACTATAAACTTTTTCATAATGCATATTACACATCTCCAAAGGAATGTATCGAATTAAAGTAACCCTGTATATTCACATCTTCACTTCAAGACTTCTGAAACTAACTTTAGCAACTAAAATCAGCCAGCTGACGAGTTGCAAACTCCTGGACATTTATACATTCTCGAGCCAGAGCTCGTCCGCCCGTAAGCTCCGCCTACACGTTCCCAATACGCTGATTGCGGAAAGGAATGAAATTCTGTTAGGCTCCGCCCACAGTGTTATACACTGGTGGAGCATGCCAATTGGTTCGAATTCAAAACTGGATGGAAGAAGAATAACTCATGAGATTCAATCATTAACTGAATGATCATTTTTGATAATCAATTCTAAATATCCTCATTCGATTATTAGATTAGGATTAGGAGACTTTTCTTGGGGGTAAAACGTCTCAAGTTCAAATTGAAAATTTCAAGTGACAAGGAACATTTCATGATACAGGGCAGTCGAGCTCCAGTTCCAACGAGGAATCGGACTTCGATTCGTGCCTGCAGTTCGGCGCCATCGAATCGGAGAAAGAAGAAGACTCGGTGTCGTGTCCGTCGCCGGACAAGAGGCCGAAGAGAAGCGAAGAAGACGGGCAGAGGAGGAGGTTGTGCGTCGACGACGACACTGACAGCTGTGGTGTTTCCAGTGACGTTGACGTGAGGATTATCGATTTCGCTCACACGTCTTTCGGATCGAAGGTGGGTTCGAATGATGTCCACCAGGGGCCGGACGGGGGATTTTTGACGGGGTTGGACAGTTTGCAGCGGCTTTTGTCGGAAATTTTGTCGGCTGAAGGTTGACGTTTCGGTTTGTAGGTTGGGACGTTCAATGGGTTGTGAGACATGAACAACACAGTGTGTCAATCTTCAAGTTCAATTACTCTTGTATTTCAGAGTAGTAGAAGGACATTTGAATTGCTCACTCTAATCCAAAATACGAGACTGTCACTCTTTTTGTTTTGAAACAAATGCGAGGGTGATTGGCCGAGGATCTTCGAATTTTTGAACTAGAATATCTTGATATTCTAGATCTTCGAACATTGATTATTGTTGATTCATAGAAAAGGTTTTCCGATAGGTGCTACTGGGTTTTAGGAAGAGTGGAAGACATTTTGTGTATGGATGGACACGCCAGTTTCAATCAAGTTGTATATTATAGCCAAAATTTCACGTTGAACTAGATAGTTTTTTTATTACACCGGCTATTGCAACAGGACTTCTTGCACTTCTGATTCTTCAAAGGAAACCCTTTCGAAATTTCCACATGACAATATACTGAAACTTTTAGTACGATGACCATCAAACCAATTTCTCAATCTATATCTATCAACGTTCTCAGCATCAATAACCTGTTGAATCAATGTATACTTCCTAACGTCAGTATTGAATATAATTTATTGTGATCAGTTCTTAATCTGGTATATCTGCATTTTCTAATTCGTCATACTTTCAATATGCAAGTTGTTCTTTGAACCTATGGTAAATTGATCTCAAAGTTTGGCCTACATGTGTTTTTTCGCAATCATTTTGTAACTTTCTGATCCATCTCTGTTTGGGTTTACTGTTTTTGGCTTGCTTCATCATCAAATCATGCTCTGGATTGAACGGTAATCAAAAGATAACATAAAAACACATGCAAATATAGGAAATCCACGAAATTAGTTTTGCGGTAAAATATAATCAGGGTGGAACTAAAAGACCCATGAAAACTAAGTTCAGGGAACATATTTAATCACTATTCATGATCTCTACTACTCTCTATTCTACTCTAGTTGAACACATTTTTTAGTAGGCAAGTAGAATTTTAGAACACGAATTTTCAGAAATGAAAAATCAGTATATATCTTTTGAAAAAACTGAAACTTGAAGATTTTAAGGTAAAACATCGAAAAAATACATGGTCTCCCATTTAAAAATACAAATTAATATACAAAATATACTCGGTGGATAATCAAGTAATCAATTGGTTCACTATTCCACTTCGTACAATTGTATGCTATATCCTCTCTGAAATGTTTTCATTCTGACATGTGCTCTAGCTACTTACCGGTACTTACATTCCCAACCTGGTTACATGAAATAATTCACTGTATGTAGGGACTAAAGTGCACAATTTAGTTCCAGAAGTGCAAAAATGTCCGAATTGATGAAAAACACCTGAAACCTCAAGTAGCTTCCCATCGGGAAACCTTTATGACATACTTTAGAAGTCATGCGGTTGACTTCTTTGCTCTTTGTTATTCTGTTATTTGAGTACAAAATCGTTAGGTTCTTAGAGAATCACAATGGTGCAATCGTAGCTCTAAATTGATAATCTAATATTGGAATTTCTAAAAGAAATTTTGTTCAGTATTAGTCTGTAGTCACGAGACTAGATTATTTTATTGCATTTTAGTGACTGACTAAGTCAACAAGTAACATTTTCAACACTTCCGAAATCTAATTTTTATTAATTTGTAATGACGTTGGAACAAAGGATAAATTTAGATCAGGAATTGATGAAAGGGATTTGTTGCCTTTTTCTCAGGTCTGTTACTAGATTTTATCTCAAATTGACGAAGAAATTGGTCTCCAATAAATAAACAATGCTGCCAATTTTGTGATTATTTTACTGTTACAATTATTTCAGTTATAAAGAAGTATTATTTTGAGAATGATGAAGTTCAATATATTTTGTTGAATTTGCTCATGATAATGCTGATTATTTATATTTTTGCATTTGGAACAGACAAATCTTGAAAAAACTATTCAGCCAACAGAAAATGTGTTGAAAATCATAAAATAGAAATGTTATCATTCAAGCAAAAATACTAATTGAAGAAGGTGTACCAGATTCAAATAGGCAGGACTTCACCAATCAATGAAAAACCTCTTTTCCACCAATTAACAAAGTCCTACTGTCAGAATCTGGGACATATCATGTTAGGAAAGAATTTTTTCATGAACACTAATAGTCTTCTTTGGTGTGGTTTAAACTATATTCACTACTAGTACATTTTCAATGGACAATTCAATATTTCTTATATGTACCTAATATTCTGATCAATATAAATAATACTAAGAACAATAATTGCTAGTGGTGAAAAATGTTGATACTATTTTCTTTCCTGTCCTGTTCTCAATATATTACCACGAAAATATCTTTATTTTTTACTTCATGACTACAAAATTTCTGTTGAAATTGATGAAATGAATTATATATCCTTATTCAAGAAGTTCAGCGCTGATGTGAGGTTATTTTTAGGAAATGGAATATTTATTTTTAATCTGTGATTTTTTGTGTTAATTATTGTTGATAAGTGTGAATGCAGTTTCTAGACATTCCGACGTTCATATAAACACTTTGCGAATGTATCTATTTAATATCTCAGTTTCAAACCATTACATAATTGTTATGGTTCAAATATTTTTGTTAAAGAAATATTTTATCAAACAGATAAGGCATGTGAATTTCATTTTTCATTTTGTAAAACTATGAAAACAATCAAGCATGAAAACAGGTGTTTAGAAATTTGGGTGGTTATGTGCATCTGTTTTATCTGTACAGTATTACCGGAACTTGACTCACTCTTTCGTGGAAAAAATAAACAAAGAACAATACTTGGAAATAAAAATAAAAATTTACTAGTACCTGTTATAAAATTAGGAATCCAGTTGAGTTCCTCTTATTGTACATTTTTTTCGAATAAAATTACTAAAAATTGTTTCTTCTCTCATTCAGAATTCCTATCAAACTGTTGAATCAAACCTACTTTGGAATGACTTCAACTTATCCCAAAATACCATGCAGAGTACAGTGTGTGGACCCAATCTCAAATACATAGGTCCCAGTCCTTTATAGAAAGCTGATAGCCCTTCAGTTTTGTATATCTTGTACACACAATCAAGGTAATTGGCATAGTATTTTCCCTTTCCATATTTGTCAGTAGCTACAAGAAAAAGAATGGTGATTCGTAGATATAGATAAGTTATTCGGTCTCCATTCAAAATCGTCAAAAACAATATCAATCAAAACATTAGATAAATAATATATGAATTAATGGTGTTTGTATAGAAACTATTCATTTCAACATAAATAATAAAACATTGAACAACTTCAATATAATTGTCAGAAACTCATGCCTGATAATTATAAATTTATTAGTCACTGTAAGGTATACCTTGTTTTCCATTAATTTGGCATCATATATGGGACAAACTTTCAAGAACAATTTATTTTGAGATTCAACTTGGACGTTGAGTTTTGCTTCAAAAAAGATGAAACATAGGTTATGTTCCGATATTGCTGACATTACTGGCCACAAACATAACCGTAACCTATGATCTTTCGATTTTAGGTGCTTTGTTTTAGGTACGTAAAAAGTCCTCCCCGCCCCCCTTCGCTAGCTTCAAGGGTTAAAGGGGAAGGAGGACTTTTTACGTCCTCACTGTATATTCATATTATTATCTTCTTTACTCTCGTTGAAATTATCGATGGAGTGATGATGATTAATCACATTATCTTAGAAGACAATATTATCCTATAGTGATTCTGATTTATCAGAAACACCAAGCTTCTAGTACCTCTAGTTCCAGTGATGAAGAGATAAAGCATAGTTGTGAAATATTCGATATCAAAAGTGGCAATAACAAACCATCTTGTAGATTAGTGGCATTTCCAGCGTTTACTGCCACTGTGAGATTAATCAGTTCGACTTCATACATTTTCCCAAAGTATTTGAAAATAATAATATATAATTTTTATCGACTCATACCCAACCATTCAAACGCTTAATCTAACGCAGGGTATAACATGAAGTTCTAGTCATGTTGAAGCCATCTAGTGGCAAAGCTCTAAGGTAGGATCAAGAGATCGCGACACACACTGTATGGCGCTGCCATCTATAGTCACACGTACATACCCTTACGTTTACTTGAGTGAATTTTTCCACCGACCTATTCAACTGCTAGATCTCATAACTAAGAGATCCAACGGTCAGCAGGAGCGAGACAGTACTGTTTCGACCCACCAGGTCTCATCAGCCGCTCTCGGTCTGCTGACAAGTGTGTCGCGATCTCTTGATCCTACCTTAGAGCTTTGCCACTAGACGGCTTCAACATGACTAGAACTTCATGTTATACCCTGCGTCATCGAAATGGGTGTTATACCCGAAGCGTAGAGTTGTCCCAGTTGTCAGCAGACCGAGAGCGGCTGATGAGACCTGGTGAGTCAAAACAAAACTGTCTCGCTTCTGCTGACAATTGGGGCAACTCTGTTCATCCTGGATCTCTTAGTTATGAGATCTAGCAGCTTAATCTAACATTTCATGAATACTGGCACTACATCACGATTTCTGGACCAGTGACCAAAAGTAAACTTTTTGCCTCCAACAGGGTTTCTTGCAATGACCCGCGAAAACGTTGCCAGTAAATTTCAGTAAAATCGGAAAGTCAGAATATACTGGGTAGTACTGTTAGGGAATATCGGAACATGCTCATAGCATAATAGATCGGGGTCACGTGACTTTCGCTACATGTCTAAAGTTACATTTTTCCAAATTAATCGCTGAAAATAGGCTTATACACTCAAATGCAAAAAAACGCAACTAGTTAATATTCGGTCAAATTTGAAGTCTCATAATTTTTTAATTTTTTATTCGATTTTAATAATTTTCTCAATAAACTGTAGATAAAATGACTAATCTCAACTTGTATATCCTGTTTTTTGTTAAATGCTGGCGGATAAGTCATTATAGAGGGTTAATTGAAAGGTTGTTGTGCAACCCTAATTTCAAAACACCCTGTGGAATAATTTGGTAGCCAAATTCTTTCAAAATATCAATTTTTGTCAAGAACCATTCCATTCCTACATTTTCATTTTTGGTTCATGTCTTCAAGTGCACTGAATCATTTTTAAAAGCACTTATAACCATTGCAGGAGTATAGGACAATGATATAGGTCTTGCGTAAAGAAATCACTGTCAATTTGACATAAGGACAACAAATCGAAGTCACCTCGTCAAAAAATAACATTCCTTAGAGTAAACTGTTGTGACAAGTTAATTTCGTTCTTGAAAATGAACAAGTGCTTTCAAAGACATGAATCAAAAGTCAAAATGTAGAAAAGGAATGGTTCCTAACAAAAAATGGTATTTTGAAAGAATTTGGTAACGAAATTATTCCACAGGGTGTTTTGAAATTAGGGTTATACAACAACCTTTCAATTAACCCTGTATAATGACTAAACCGCCAGCATTTAACAAAAGACTGGAGATGATACAAGTTGAAATCAGTCATTTCATCTACAGTTTGTTGAAAAAATTATGGAAATCAAACCGAAAATTGAGGAAAGTTATGAGACTTAAAATTTGACCGAATATTGACTTGTTGCGTTTTTTTGCATCTGAGTGTATAATCGGTATCTGAGGGTTTTCGGGGTCGGAGATTATGATTCCTCCGTCATAATTACAGAATTGTATTAAATAGTGTTTCGAAAAACTAATAAAACACGCTTTCATAGATAGCCAAACTAAAAAGAATAGAAAATAAATAGTGGTTTAGAAAACTGAAGAGATAGATTACCGAACTGAAAAGAAGTAGAATATGAATAGTAGTTTGAAAAACTAAGAAAACGCCATTTCATGGTTAGTCAAACTAAAAAAAATATTTTCCAGAAATAATGTACATAGCAAAACAACGTTTGCCGGGTCAGCTATATTCAATAAAATGAATCGAGATGAATCCAATATTTGGGTACTGTCTGTCCTTCAAATTTATTTTAGTAAGTAGCGTAGCAACGCGCGCAGGGTACAGCTAGTCCTGAATATAAAACTTACGTTGATTGTAGGTTCTAGTGAGGATGAGATCGAACGGTGTCATAGACACAGAGACAGCAACACCTCCAGCCATGCTGCCTAAGAAAGACATAAGGACTGGTTTATCTTCAAAGTAGTCGTAAGTTTGCAAGTACTGCTTCATATATTCGAAAGAACCTAGTTGAAAGACTGATCCAACAGTTGTTCTAGGGACTGAAGCTGAAGCGCCTCTATAAAGCCCTCTTATCTAAAAAATAAGTCCTTGATGTTTGAATAAAAAAACTCAACAAAAAAATTAACATTTTGAAAACTCTGCGAATTGAAAACTCTTGAAACAGATCATTTTCAACATTTGAAAAAAGTTGTAGAGGGTGTTTTCAAATATGGGGCACCTTCTTCAAGTTATCACCAAAACTCGCCCATATAAAAGTATTAGCAATATAAGATGTTCGGAAACCCAAATAAAATTTATATTGTTTCGAACAGGATCGATTTCATCGGTGGGATACTTTTCCTGATCTTGAAAAAAGGTAAAAGATGTCAGCGTTCATGTCTTCGATCGCCATGATGTATGTATAGGCCAGTGGCGGCTCCTCAGAGATTTTCCTTAAACTAATATTATCAATACTTTCTCATTGAAAGGACACCAAAATACATGGATTTTGATTTTATTTTCTGTTTTTAGTTAAATATTTTTGAATTGGCAACAGTGCTTGCCCACGCATCACACGTTGAAGTATGCAAATCACGTCACGCGTAAAATATTCAACTTGACAACATCTATAATAGGAGGCTAGACTCCTTCACATTTCAAAACCTACGCGCGCAATGCAAATGCCCGAATACGCCCGAGTAGCACGTGTTTGTCGTGTCGCTTCGCGAATTGCGGACAAACGCGAGTGCATTGTTTATGTTAGGTTAATGGTTAGGGGCTCTATGAATTTCTGAAAAATGAGTGTTTAAAACTATTGCGATTTAGTGGAATACTTTTTGGTGAACCCATTCAGTGCTTTGTCTTATGAAGATAAATTGATTGTGAAAAACAAACGTCCGACACCCTAATTTAAAAATCGTTCGTTCAATTCTGATAATTATAAATAATATATCTGGTTGACGGGATCTGAGGTAAGGAATAAGCTATTTTGTTGGTACTGCGTATTATTTTCAACCGATAAGTCATCATGTTGGGTGCGATTAGGATATAATGATTTGAAAAATTTGCCTCGCGGATTGGATAGACACTGCAAATCACAGGAACACATCTCTTCAAGTATTAAGTACAGGTTAACTGGTAAACAGAATGTCATTAAAGCTATTGATTTGGGTGAGTAGAGAGTTGTTTTTCACAATAAATCTCATATCATTCAGCCTCCTCTGTCATGAAAGTCACGAGCCGCCACTGGTATAGGCGTCAAACAATGAAATTCGTCATTTCCTGAAATGTATCTATTTATTTATTGAATCGAGTAAAATCTACATATTTTGTCATTGGATATAAATTACATGTATATATACAGTGTGTGCGATTTCAATTCGCAACACCCTTATAATTTGTAACCTGTACTCTAACCTAACCTGTACTCAACGAGCTCTATTCGAGAATGTGAACAAATTTGAAATATTCAGATTTTCAAGGCCTACTTTCGATTGTTGAAGGGGCCAAAATTTATTTATTTCGAAACTATGACTAGCTTATTCGATTGAGGCATAGCTGAAATACCCCCAAACGAAATTAGAACGCAAAATCTCATATAGGGTGTTAGTTATTCAATGGAAAATTTTGATAAATTGATTTTTTGTTACATTGATGAAATCACCTCTTCAGGGAGAATCTAAAAATTTCATTGCATTTTTAGATTCTCCATGACATGAAGAAAATATACAAAAAATGTTTTGTAAAAGGGAAAGAGGAAAAATCACGAATTGATTCAAGTATATTTTGTCACTAATCTCAAATAATTATTATTATTATTATATTATCAAATATCAAACATAATGTCAGATGTCAATATCTTCAGGCTTGTTTCGTGAATTTTGAGGAATATTTTTTAATTAACCTTAGATGGGTTAATTTATTCGCCCTTGAAAACACCCTTTGGTATAAAAGAAAATATTCCAACGTGCCTTTTTTCAAAGGTTTATACAGTTCTATTAAAAAAAAAACGTACAAGTATTAGAGGGAGAAGTTGTCATAGGTTTTCAAAAATACAAAGCATTGGCTGAGCCAGTTTTACACAACTAGAACTAGGATGGCGTTAACCTCTCATTTTAATACTTGTCCCTTATGATTGTTTAACAACATAATTAAAATTTATGGAGATGACTTCGAGCATTCCTTCCTTCCTTTGACAACTGTACATTATAAACCTTGGAAAAATCAATGGAATATTTCTGAATCCTTACCCCATATTCATTAAAAATTTTCCTGAAAGCATTCCATGTTCCTTGATGAGAATGTTGGAACCCAACAGCTACAGCCTTTGCAGCTTGCGCCTGTAACTGAGTTTTCATCATGTACAAGGGACTCGACAAAAATTGTCCTATGCATCCTCCAACTGCTCCAAATATTACCATGTTTCGGAAAATAACTTTTCCCTCTTTGGTTTTAATGTAACCCCTGTTTTCTGCCATCTGAAATATGCCTGAATAGAAAGCCGGGTTAGCCATAAGTTGACTGATTAGTTTACTCTTACGTTCTTTATAAAAAAACATTAAATTTTAACAAGCAATAATGATGAAAAGTTATTATTACCAACAAGCAACGCAATATAATCGAAATATCAAAATAAAATAATAAATTGTGAACTTCATAAATGATCTAATATGTAGGTATGTCAATGAATATCTCAAAGAATATTCAAGAACTAAGAACACAAATACGTGAATTAAATTTGGATGTGCATATAACCAAAACATAATAACATATTATTATAACATGAAATGTAAGAAACTTCACAAACAATAAGATTTCCAAAAAATGTTCAATCACACGACTTGTTTCACTAACACATCAGCTTCTTCAGGTTATTGTACCTGAAGAAGCTACTGTGTTAGCGAAACATGTGTGATTAAGAATTTTGCGGAAATCTTATTATCGTTTGCGAAGTTTTTTACATACCCTTATTCTCCTGTGTTGCCAGCTGGTTCATTTTATGAAAATATCAAGTAAATATTTTTTCAATTTTCGAATCGGTCAAACTTAATAACTGTCGAGATGATTTGATATTCACTGATGTAGTAAATGTCACTAACATTGTCTGCTATATTGATATTTAGCAGACAATGGTCACTAAAAAAGATTAATTTTACAATTTCATATCAGACATAAGCTGACATGATTACCATATATAATCGAGTAGGCTGTAACATGATTGTAGGTTCAATCAGCAGCGACCAAATTTGGTCTAATCCTCAATTATACACTCACCTGCCAAAAAAAACTGACTGAAGTGTGATTCCTTCCCGACACAATATGGTTTTTGAATCAAATCGAAAACCACATTTTAAGAGAAGATACAAGCGTTTTAATGAGGTATGACCTGTTTCTTTTCCACTATTATCGACAACATCGATTTCCAGCACGGGCAAAGGAACTTTTTTCAATATTTTATTTACGAATTAAATATTGTAAAGTTTCGGAGCATCGGCTGGGGATAGTCCTGCACGATTCGCTGTTGCGTTCCAATTAACAGTGCTGCTCCTAAAGTGGCGCATGGAGTTAGTAACAAAGCCTACACAGAACACGCAGAAAGATATGATGATGTGGTTGTGAGCATCAGAGAAGAAGTAGGACGGTGTATGTAGGTGGGTGTGGAAAACTACCAGCTGAGCGTGAGAGCGGGCCAGCTGCTTAAGTAGACCTCGGTCTCGGGGGTTAACGATGATAGTTAGCAGGCCTGCCACTGCGCATATGGTAGTGAGTACATTACTAGCCTACAAAACACAGCTGAAAAACTCTGAAAAGAGAGCTGATGGGCGGTGCCTGAAAAGGATGTTAGCCAGCTCTCTTGAGCGAACCACATCAGTCATTGAAAACACTTGGGGTTGGCAAAAAGGTCCCATTGGGGACTAGTTGCTGACGTGGAAACGTCCCCCACCAGTACCAGTACCAGTCGACAACATAATCTTTAATTCAGCAAACATTTACGCGCTTTTTCGATGCGTAAGTTTATAAATATTGGATGATATATTTTCCGCTTGCTGGAAACGAAAGAAATGACTACGAGAATTTTTGCAGCATATATTTATGATGTAGTATGTGTATACCGTTCGGACCGAAAGAGTTAAGAAAGAATGGATTTTTTCAGAACCTATATAAAGCATCTTAGGAATGAACTCCAGGAGCTCAATCGCCTTCGTCTGGCCTCGTCAGAGACTCTTCGAAAGCTACGATTCACCCTTCAAGCAGAATGTTAGGCAATTCTTTTAGACTACTTGAAAAATTTCATCAACTCGATGCCACGGGCATATACTCGTTATTGACAACATGCTACATGTCTGCTTTTTGTTTGTTTTTTGTTTTCAAGGTTTTTTTCCGGTAGGTGCTAAAAAAATTAGGTGGAAATGAGTGATATTGATTCTTCAAGTTGTTAATCAATACTTTTATGTAGGTTCTGGTTATTTGTTAATAAAAACTGAAAAATGACATACTTTCTCAAAACACTCGTATCTTCTATTGAAAATAAGATATTGACGTGAATCAAAAACTATTGTGTGAAGAAGGGATCACATTTCAATTCAATGCATAATGAAGCAAAGTTTATCCACTCATAATTTCGCCACAGGTCGTTAAGAAGTAGAGGTGAAATAGTAACTTTAGGTTTTCCCTGTATAATGATCAAGTCATCACGGAAACTAATATGTAGGCTAATATTATGGGACATGAATTAACGATTTGATCAAAATTTCATAAAAATCGGAAAAGGATTAGAAAAGTTACAGGGAGAACAATTTTGGCAACATTTTTGGTAGCCGGTTTTTTGCCGGTGAATGTACGTTAATACCAATAAGGTTTATACAATCTGCCGGAGTGCTCGAAATAGAGCAAGTGTTTGAAAGACTTCCACTTACGATTTCGGTAAACCTTTAATTTTAATGAACCTCGAATTCTGATGACATCACTCGAATATCTATGTCGTAATAGGTCACAATCCAGTTCATAAGAAAACAAGAACTAGTGAGTTTCAAACGGTCTAGCTCAGTTCATCCATGACATTGTTGAAATCAGTTGAATCTTGACTCTTGAGAGTGATGATGTTAAAATATCCAAACAAGCTATTATTGTAGTTAGGTATAGTCGACCAAAGTCAGTTGGAGCACCTCCAGAAAAAACATATATAGGTAGGCAACGCGGTTCTTCTTCTTCTGAAGATCGTTTGAATCCCGTGCAGGTAGCAGACATTCACAGATTGGGTTTTTTTCAATTCAACATTTTTTCCACGGCATGTAGACAGTGTCTCACGGTCCAACAATTAGATCAAACTACATATCTGTGATGTCATCAATGACGTCACGTCAAACAGCAGCTGAAATTTAGAACGTGTTCTAAATATATGACATGTTGGATAAAAACAATTTTGTCTTGCTCCAATCCCAAATTTATGCTAGGATGAATAGAGACTAGGGCATGATCTCACCTCATTTCTGCAGGTATACATTACACGCTTATTACTATTTGTCTTTTCAATATATGGGTTGATTTTATTCAATAGAAAGCTGTAACATCTCTCATTCATTTTTAGGTACAGTTTTGGAAACTATTGAAATCTTCCAGTCTGACTTCATCAAAAATCATAGGTAGGACTCCTCTTCAACCTCTTTTTCCAATCACTCTCTGTATTACAAATACTGTACAAAATACTATATAGGTGATGAATGTTCAGTTTATTTTTCCTTGTGATTTCTCCCATTTTAAAGAAATCTACTTAACCAATATTTTTCTTCAAATCGTGTGACAAGGATTTCTTGACGATTCAAACCATTTGAGTTAAGCAAACAAGAATGACGTCACATCAAACAAAGTTGATCAAACTACAGATCTGTGATGTCATCAGTGACGTCACGTCAAACAGCAGCTGAAATTTAGAACTTGTTATAAATATTTGTCATGTTGGATCAAACAATAAGGTAAGGATGTTTGTTTTCATGTTCTCTTCATTGATTATTATTTTATATCTTGGGAATTAACAAGAAATACTATCATTAATATGATCAATACTTCAAAAATGCATGTCCTGGTAACAGGACTGAGGACCATTTCGGATAATGATTGGAATATTTTTGTCTGGCTCCAATCCCAAATTTATGCTTGGTTGACTAGAGACTTATGATTATGATCTCACCTCATTTCTGCAGGTATACGTTTACGCGCATATATGGATTGATACAAATCTGAAACATCTCCTATCCATTGTTAGGTAGTTCAGTCTGACCATCAAAAATCATAGGTAGGACTCCTCCACCAAGATTTCTTATTTGAAGCCATTATCTTGTGCATATCTCCCTCTTTTTTTAAATCACTTTGTATTACATATACAACACAAAATACTTACCATATAATGAATTTTTATTTAATTTTTCCTTGTGATTTTTCCCATTTTAGAGAACCTACTTAACCAATATTTTTGTTCAAAAATCTTCAAATCGTGTGACAAAGCTTTCTTGACATTTCAAACCATTTGAGTCAAACAGGCAAGAATGACGTCACATCAAAAAAATTTGATCAAATTGTTGGAGCGTGAGACACGGCCTTAAGATGAACATCAATTCATTGTAGAACTGACAAACGCTCCAACTGACTTTGTATAGACTATACAAATAATGCTAGCGTTTATAATTTCAAATCTAACTACAATGTTTCTTACCTAATCGAGCTCCGTTCAGAAAAAGTTGTGTTCCCAAGGCAGGTGCAAGCCCTTTTTGAAGGGCGAATGTTCCCTCATTTTTGACTATCGAAAAACCGGCATGGAATACGTTTCTGTAGTGAATTGCGTGCTCCCCTCTGGCTTTCAACTCTCCCTGTAACTGCATACGAGTTTTGACAACTTCAAGGGGGTTCGTGAAACACACTGCCCCCATTGCAGCTACCCCACCAGTCAAAAATTCCATTATAAATAGTTAGTTCTAGCTTGGCGGGTTCATACCATTTCGATATGTTGAGTATAAAAGCGAGCACTGGTGAATTTGTTGAATATTTGAGCAAATTCATACAAATGATAATTAAAATTCATAATCATCCTACTTACCTACTTAAATCAGCGGAAGGTTCGTCATTTTTATTGAAACTAGTATTCAGATAACGTTTTGATGCTTATCTTGGATAAGTGAACAAATAATTAATCAACATTGTGTGCTGTAACATTATTTCAAAGACTATGGAACCTTCGACACTCACTCTCACTCACTATCTACAATCTACACTGTTTTAACACTAATCAAAACGAAAAATTCAGTTTGGTTAGCGGTAAAACAGTGTGTATAGTGTCATCTACACTAATATCATGAAGTGGAATGATATTATGTTTATTATTCCAAATTTTTTGGGATTTTCTCTCCTCGTTTCTATAAAATAAAAATATGAATATTATTTCAATATACGTGTAGTTAATCTATGCGTGTAGTAAGGACAAATCAGATGATTTGCCCCAAAATGTCACTGCGTTTAAAGAATTTTCCTATCAGAGAGCCTAAAAGAAAAATTCACTAGCTTGTCAGTGACAATTTGTATTGAAAAATTTTTGGAGAAGAGAAATAAAGGTATATAGAAAAAATATCAAATTTTCACTTATCTTTGGACGTTTCGGGACCGATTCTGCTCCCGTTTTCAACATGAAGAGATTTTTTCAATTGCGAAGTCGTATAATATGTCTTGAAGCTTTTCAGTTTTCAATGACAATTGGTGACGTTGGCAATCAAAGAAGTTACAGGATGTTTTCATTAATTAATCTTGAATTTACCATTTTCATGTTCACGGTGGACGGTGGACGGTGTATCGTCTGATACCATTGGCATCAATTCCGGCGTTCCACAAGGATCAATTTTGGCACCAACATTATTCCTGCTTCATATCAATGATCTGTTGGGAGTAACAACTTGCCCCATCCACAGCTTTGCAGATGATAGTACCCTCCATACTGCGTTCTCTTCCAGAATTCCCATTTCTGCCCAGGAAACTAAGAACTCACGGCGCAGGCAGGTCAATGCTGTCAATGAAGATCTTGCTGAAATCACAGCCTGGGGAACGAACAACCTAGTTGAATTCAACGCCACCAAAACTCAAGCCTGCATTTTCTCTAGAAAGGCGGAACTCAGTATGCCCGATATTGTAATGTCTGGCTCCACCATCCTCACCAAGCCCACCATATCTATGCTCGGTATTTCCATCAGCAACACTCTTTCATGGGATAATCATGTCAGATCCATCGCAAAAGCTGCTTCACAAAAACTCGGATTCTTGTTCCGTGCGAAAAGCTACTTTACACCTCAACAGCTTCTCATGATCTACAAAGCGCAGATACGGCCTGTTCTAGAATACTGTTCCCACATATGGGGTTCAGCACCAAAACATACGCTGATGCTCTTAGATTCCATCCAGAGAAGAGCCATTCGCCTGGTGGGTGACGCCACACTCACTCACTCTTTGACATCATTGGAACACCGTAGAAAGGTCGGCGACCTTTCACTTTTCTATCGATACTTCCACGGGAAATGTTCTTCGGAAATCTCTGCAATCATCCCTTCACTAGCAATACCAATCAGACGAACTAGACAAGCCCAGTCAGCACATCCTTTCGTTGTCAACCTCGAAAGATGTCGAACAGCACTTTATCAAGACTCCTTCATCCATAGAACGGCTAGGCTCTGGAATTCATTGCCTGTGGAAGTATTCCCAACAACATATAATCTCCAAAAATTCAAAAAAAATTCCAATACCTACCTCCTGTCCCTATCCTCCCTAGGAACGCACGATGTTCTTCGAACATCATAGGGATTCCCTTTCGTGCGCTCCAATCGATAAAAAAAAAAAAAAGATTTTAGTAGTGAATACCATGTTCTGTCTATATCAACTGAACAAGAAGCAATGCTATTGTCTCCGTTCAGAAGAATGCAAGCAGATTCCTTGATTTTTCTCTTCTGGTTGTTATCTTCTTTTCCAATGATTTTAATATTATTCCACTCTGCCATATGTTGTCCGTCTTTAGTAAGGATATGTTCAGCTAGTTTCGATTTATCGATGTTTCTTTTCTTTATATTGTACTTATGTTCCTTCGTCCTTACTGAAAGAGGTCTCTTGGTTTCACCTGTATAAAACTTTCCACAAACACAAGGTATACTGTAAATACAATTTTTTGACGATTGTTCCTCATTTTTCGGCTTTGTTTGAGTTAGAATTGATCTCATTGTATTTTCAGTTTTCACTTGAAATTTATCACCAACACGTTTTATTTTTTCGTTATTGATGGTTGATTTTGTTGTGGTTGACCCTGTTTGTTTTCAATTTGATGAATCGTCCTATCGACAAAATTCTTTGGATAGGAATTCAGTTGGAGAAAATTTTTAATGTGGTGGACTTCGTTATTGAAAATTTGTTGATAATAATCAATTACCGTTTCTAGATGTTTTTTTTCAATACAAATTGTCACTGACAAGCTAGTGAATTTTTCTTTTAGGCTCTCTGATAGGAAAATTCTTTAAACGCAGTGACATTTTGGGGCAAATCATCTGATTTGTCCTTACTACACGTATATTGAAATAATATTCATATTTTTATTTTATAGAAACGAGGAGAGAAAATCCCAAAAAATTTGGAATAATGAATGTACAACCTCCTCGATTAACCTACAGACGATATTATGTTTGTTTGAATAGGCTCCGAAATTACTAGACCTATTTGAAAAATTCTTATTCCTCCAAATGACACTTGACACGCACGAAAGTAATAGTTTCTCTAAATAGGCAGGATATAGTTATTTATCTAACAAGTGCGGAAAGTAGTACTTTTCCGCACGCGACGGCACTTGCACGAATGTCGTGGAGCGGAGTTCGGCAAGTCGTCAAGGGCGGAAAAGACGTAGTTTTTCCTACGAGTGTTTTTGTCCATATTATTTATGAAAAAATAAAAGGTTTTTAATAAACAATATTTTATAATGATGCTACAAAATGACACATAAGACAGAATAATTACATGGATCATTTAGTTAGTCCTAAAAATGAACTTATTTTCAACAATACACAAATTGTGCGGAAAAGAAACTTTTCAGCACTAGTGCGATGAAGTAACTTTTCCGCACGATATTTTCATGCACTGAAAAATAATGAAATAGATTTTTATTCATCGATATAATAGGAAACTTATTTGACATAACAATAAATTGAACATTAACGATGGTAAATTATGAAATTGAAAGTGCAATTTGTGTTTGTTGCATGCTGTAATATAGCAGATGCCGCAACATCTTGAAGAACGTCGTTTCTTATTTGAATTTGATTGGTTAGTGTTTGGCTCACTACAGGAATGCCTTGATCAATTTGTTGCTGAGAATTTAGTGTAGCGAATGGAGGAAGGTAGATTGGTCTGAAATGCTTATTTGTTGACTGCCACTACTGTCAGTTTATAGCGACTATGGGTACGTTTTGAAATAGAATGCAGCTCAATAGAACAAACCTTCTTCCACTTGTCTTCACTGCCACTTAAAAACTGTGTCTCGACCACAAGTGTCGCATCAGTCGACATGAGCGTACACGCTCATGTACGTTCCTGTGTCAACCATGTCAACAGGTGAGAGCAAATACGGTGTTGTTTAAAAACAATAGGTTCGAAATTATAACACTCGCACGAGGCTCGTGCCGACTAATGCGAGTGCGACCATGTGCGGCGGGCGTTACTCATTGATTCTCAAATAAGTATTTCTTCAGTTTTACTCTGAATACATTGAGCTTATCTTTTTTGATAAGATGGGGGATGAAATTGTAGACTTTAGTGATTTGATAGCTAAATGAACGTGTAAACTTTTGTGTTCTGAAGATAGGTGGTGTGAGAGTACCCTTGAATCTGATATCCAAGTCGTGGACATCCGTTCTGTGAATAACCTCTCGATGCAGAAAAGATGGCATTTTTGTTGTGAGAATTTTGTGGAATAAACCATCATGAAGAAGTCTTCTGTTTTCCATATTCAACCAGCCTGCCTGGAGTAGCTTCTGTGAAATACTTTCACGCTTTCTGATCCCATAAATCAATCGTGTACAAGAGTTTTGTACTTTTTGAATTTTGTTTTCATATGTATAAGTCAAATTAGGGCCATACAGGGTATCGGCATAGTTGAATAAGGATAAAACAAGTGATTCAGTCAATATACTTCTTACTGTGGTTGTTAAAGAATTTCGATTGCCATATATAAGTTTTAAGAATGAATATGCACGTTGTATGAGTTTATTGACATGTTTTTCAAACCTCAGATCCACAAGTAAAACACCAAGACTTTTCGTTTCATTAACTGAAGTGAGTGACTCACTCATCGTGAGTTTTTATATCAATATCATCTGCAATTCGACGTCCATTTTTAGTAGTGAATATAATCATATTTGACTCACTTGGATTTATGAATAAGCAGTGATCGGTTGCAGCTTTGACGAAGGAGTCGATATCCCTATTGATGAGAATACAGGCATTGGCAATGTCTTGATGTCGGCTCAAGTCTTTCGATAAATTGAGGTTTTCTATTTGTTCCAATATTCTACATTATTTTTCTCGAATATATTCGATTGAACAGGCCATTGCCTTTAGGAGTATTCGACAAAATTTTAGGATTTTTGACTTTGACACTGACCCCACGATTCAGTAGCGTCAACTGGTGAGAGTGAAATCATTCATATCATGTTATTGTCATTCATATCATGATAATTATAAGTAGTTATGTACCTAATTCATTAAATAGAAATAATAAAATTACTGATTCAATCAAAACCCCTTTTATTGAAATGAGAACTTCATTCTACCGAGGATTATATAATATATCATTTGTACTGTAAAATCGTCAATAACTATAAATATTTTGAATTAAAAATTGTCATAGCATATCACATGGAAACAAAGGGGAGAGGGGCAAAATATCACGAACATTGGGACATTTTATAATCTAACAGTTAACACTTAACTAGATTGCAAACATAATTAGAGAGAACAATTTTCATGTGGGAGTAAATACCACACATCGTATCTCACTTCTGAAAGAAGCACCCATGTATATTCTGTATTTATGGAGATGAGATTCTGAAATTCGCAAGAGCGAGAGACCCACCAAATAGGATTATCATCACTCATCAGTTACACTGCTCGCAAGTATTCATGGAATTACCGATATTTCCGGAAATTGATCAGACCTCGTAGTTTTCATACCGTGGCCCAACAGAAATAGTTATTTTATGCAGAAAGAAAATGGTGATTCCGTGGCTACTGGCAAACATTACCAACTAGTACTAACTACTTAATAACAATTCCATATATCAATTGAGTGTAGTCAGATACAGAGAACAGTTTCAGTTGGATGGTGTTAGCGCTAGTATTGCAGAAATTACTAGAAGTACCATCACCGCCCATATGGGACATTTTTATTGCAGCTGAATGTACCTTCAGTTCCTTTTTTGTTCCTGCAAATTTAAGAATCCAACCTCAATAAATCCAGGAAATATTGGGTTGCTTCTATCAGAAGTAAAGCACACTGTAAATGATATAGAGTGATTTTGATATACATTTTCAGTTTTTCCAAACATGATCCCCATTTGAAGAATAACTTTTGTTTGGTTAAATATCTACTGTTCCCCTACAGTATCAGAAACTGAAATGAAAACATTTGTAAATAGTTCATTCACTATAGGTACTATAATTGGCCACAAAAGTTCAACTATAGTTAGACGTAGGACCACACGTCAGAAGTGGTAACTTCTATGACCGGTCAGTATTTCCAATATCTTTTGGAAAATAAGAGGAAATCTAATGGGGTAGTTTCCCATATTGAGGTTTTCATCTCACTGTGAAGTTTGTAAAAAATTAATAATTTTTTTCGTAAGACCGAATTTCACTTCAGAAAAAATAAATAAAAGAGGAACTTGGCTCCTCCACCATTCCTATGACTTACTTCCTGAGACTCCACATTCACACAGAGTTGAAATACGATTCTCTGTGCCAGTGCGACGTTGTCGACATCATCAATATGTCTAGATTTCCGGAAATTGATCATTGAATGCATAATAACTATATCATAACAGCAATGGGATATAATAGGTTCTACAATCCTACTTTGTCTAGTATTATGAATAATTTCCATAAATCTCTCATTGGTCGAATGAAGTTGATTACTAATGAAAATAAATTATGATATTTTGCGATAGTATCTATAATTTTTCAATATTACAATGTTATTCATAACTTGTCAGTTATTTTTTTGATAATGACTTCGTTCCAAAAAAAAACGCCTAATACTTCGAGTCCGTCCACACCACTCAAAATACTGACAGGCACAACATGAGGAAGGAGCCATGGGTGTCGGCTTCATTCTGTTCTGACCGATGGCAGTAAATTAGGAAGGATAGTATCATTGAATGTAGCCGATAGTGATTCATTGATTCAATGATATTTTCGTTCAGGATTGAACTCTAATCGAGATATTTCAATGCATGAATAACGAAACCATAACCTGTCAGCATGAAGCCAACTAACCTCTGCATTCCTGCTCTGAGTGCATTTGTGGTTATGTATGTTTTGGTTTACCAGTTTTACTTCTTCTATTTTATTCATTCGTTTTTCATTCGTTAGCTACTCGTTAGCTACTCGTTAGCTATTTGCTAGCTATATTCTTCACCATCAGCTATTTTCAGATTAGATTTATTATGTACGACACAGTTTGCCGCCCCGAAAATTGAAGTTATAACTTCAATAATGTGGTATAAATATGTATAACAAAATCACTCTTTATAAAAATATAAACTTTACAACTCTAAAGTTATGTCAAATTATATAACTCAAGTTCTAAATCATGTACAAAAAATATAATTCTTCTTAATCTAAAGCTCAGATGACAATGTTTTTTTTTCATAATCGAGATGTTACCTATTGTTCATCACTGCAAGCACCATGTATCCCTACACTAATCCCACAATTTATTTCAATTATTGCTTGATGGTACTCAACTTCGGCTGAGTAAAGTTATTATATGCATTATTCAATCCATCCCAGAATACTAGGCATAACACAGTGTGTGGACCTAACCTCAAATACATAGGACCCACACCTTTATAAAACGCAGCTACCCCTTCAGATCTGTAAATCTTGCTGACACAGTCCATGTAGCTGGCATATAATTTACCCTTTCCTGTAGCATCAACAGCTGATAATGAAAAAAAGTTGTAAGTCAATATTCGTGAACAATACCCAAATCACTTACGCTGATTGTACAATCGAGTCATGACCAGGTCAAAAGGTGTCATGGCTATACTGATTGTGACTCCACCAACCAAACTGCTCAAAAATGCTGTGAGAATTTTTTTGTCTCTGAAGTATTCATATGTGAGGAGCCATTCCTTGGCATAATCAAAGCCTATCAGTTGTGATGAAGCTCCAACAAAAGATCTTGGTATTGAAGATAGCACTCCTCTAAAAAGTCCTCTTATCTGTAGAAATAGTTATTTATACACCATTGTTGTAAATATCATTACTACTCAGTGACCAAAATTATATTGCCTTCACTACCAAGGTGTTCAATAATTGTTTTACCACTAGCAATGTTTCCAAGGTTATAGGAACTTGATGTTATTGGTGCCAAACAAGTAGTTAGTGTTGAATAGTGCAATATTGTTCAGTCTGATCTAAATGTTCGATTATATAAAAAGTGTGAAAACATCAGAAATCATTCATTTTGTCTGTGGACTCACCAAACACTCATTGAAAAAACACTTGAAAGATTTTTCATTTTAACTCATGGGTAGATGAGATGTGATCAAAGCTATTCACAATTCACAGTCACACATAATCAAGAAGATTTAGAAATATTGCTTTCCACAGTTTACTTAGTTGAAAAATTATTCAAACTGCAAGGAAATTCATGAACTACTTAGTTGTTGATGTTTGAATGTATACAATTTGTAACGGAATTATTTCTTTAATTTATTAATTATTATTATTAATTTATCGTACAAAACATTATTGAAAATGCCAAAATGATCGAGCGAATTCAAACGATCAGACATGGCCAAGAAACGTTTCACGAAATTATTTTTTAAATGAATAGGGAGGAAAGGTGTATTATGGAGCAAAGTGGCGTCCCCTTTTTTAGAAACCATGGCCTACTAGATCACATTTTAAAAATCCAGAATCCATATAAGCGATTTTTGCAGAACTTGTTTGGGTACATTTTTAATTGAAATATTTCGATCAAATACGTGCTGGAATATGAGGATATAAGGAATATAAGGTATGTACCTTTATTTGAGTTTATTTTCGGTCGGCAATAAGCTTCCACCCATCGTTTCATTAGGTCTCCATTCTTGGAAAAACGGTAAAATTAAATATCTGGAATTGGAATTTTCATGACCAGAAACGAAACGAGTGGGCATTTAGAAATTATTTCATTCAATTTAAGAACTTGTTGTTTAAGTTTGAGATCGATCTCGGGTGCCAATAAAATGCACAATGGACTTGACAATGTTGCCAATTTGGACAGAAAGCTATGATTAGTCGGATATTAATTCCTCGATTTTTACATTTTAGCTAATAATACAGATGTTAGATAACTCAACTAATAACTACTCACTTGAAAATTCGTGGAATCAAAATTTTGCATTGCATAATTAGTAAGTTGGTTGATTTCTGTTGGAGGATTATTCAAAATTGTAAGTGAAATTTCATTTTCTATTGAATTACAGTGCAGATATTCATGACATTCAGTTTCATAACCCTTCCAGTGAAGAACTTTCAAGTTTAGGTACTCACCTATTATGTACCTACCTATAGCTATCTATCATATGGATAAAAACAAATTCTGAATCAATCAATACTGAATTACTTACTTGGTTCTATTTCTATTGATTTTTGTAGAAGCATCACTGCCTTCTTTTCAATAATATTGAGAAATAAGAACAGTGAGGTTATGTGGGAAATGAGGTATTTTTAGCTTGGCAACATTGTGTTTGCGCCAGCTGCTTCATCTCTTTCTGTTGTAGACAAAATTGCCAGATTAGCAATGAAATTTTCCGTGAATGTGTGCTTGAGATATAGTAACACTGTTCAATTTGTTGATTATAACAGTTAGTCAACGAAATTTCAACATAACTGAAACTAAACTAAGTATATAAAAAGCGCCTTACTGTTAGATGCTTGCATCACATTTTATCCTAGCTAATCTTGGAACTATAATGGAATACTTTGGGGTTCAGAGTAGATTGAATGTGATCTGCAGTGAATTACCAATCAATTAATCACTCACTCTATACTAATTTCAAATCATTGCAAACCTTGCACATAGGATCAATTCAAGGATTGTATGGAGATCTGGCAACAGCTGAGTGATTCCCAGCTGTCAGAACTCCAACCAATCAAATGACAAGAAGACACTGACATCACTGCTCAGTAACATTTGAATACACAGGTATTGAAATAGCATTTTCAATATTAAATGATCCCTTTGTTGTTAGATTTTCTCCATAGATACGTGGTCAGGATAATGTTTTCAACTTCCCTTCATAACATTATAGCAAAAAAGGGTCAAATTTCATGATACTGGAAAGGCCCATTGTAACAAGAGTTATAACATATTATTTATTATCCCTTCTTTCACATTTTGGCTGAATTTGAGGTAGGTTTGCATGCAGATATTGGGATATCACATTGAAATGTGAATTCAGATTAATGAGCTGGCTATGTCTTTATGAACTACTAGTTGATAAAATGGAAAAACTACCTTGGTAGTGAAGTACCAGTTCCCAACTTGAGTAGGAGTAAGTAATGATGTAACATGAAATGTATTCCTAAAAAAGTTGGTGTTTATTAGAAAAATAAATTCATAACATTTATAACATTCATGCATAACAAATAATGCTTATTATTTCTATGATAGGTGCAATTGTTTCAAGGTCCACAGAAACTAATTAACTTCATTAAAATAATTATTATCACAAATTTTCATAGTGATGTCATTCTGAGAAACAGGCAAATCAATTTCCTGTTGATGATAAAAAGGAATGAAAAATAAAAATGACAAAAAGGCAAAGAGCCAATTTTATATAGATAGGTGTTGAATAATCAATTGAAATGGGTATTAGGTAATAAATAATAATTTTCACCACTAGCAATATATTTCAATCATCTCATGACAGCATGTGATAAGTCATCATTGATAAATACCTACTAGACTCTAGTATGATTCCTGCAAATCTCTGATCAGAACCATGCATTCAGGTAAATTATAACAGAGGACCAGTTATTCATAAAATGAGGAAAACTACCATGGTAGTAAAAACACATTTTACAATACCAAAAGGAGTAATAATAGTATGTTTCATAGTTAGTGGTGGAAAAAATATTATATAAACAACAAAGGAAATATATTATCACAAAAAGTATTTTGTAGATGAAATGAAAATGTATCTTCATATCAATACCTACAATACTCACAATAACTGTGTTCCTCCAACAGTCTTATTATATCATAAGAAATTATAAATTTATTTCAGATAGGTTCTTATCAGTGACTAGAATATCAGTCAACTGTAGTAATTTTTGTACAATGATTAGATTAGAATAAAGGTTATCAATAAGTACCTATTCCTAACAATGATTAGGTTGTGAATTTTAAAATTTGTCTTCTGATCTAGTTTGAGGTAAACTAATTTTTGCAGTAATATACTACTGAAATGTGAGAATATAAAAAACATGTTTGTGAACAAGATATACATCTTTGCAAAATTAATATGAGCTGGTCACATCCTATTTTTTAATTTCAGTTTAACACTCATTTTTGTATTGCAAATATGATCATCCATATCAACTCCAAGTATGTTTTCTATGAGGTTTTCTAATTACCAAAGGGGGGTTAAACTGTATTATTTTGAAAAGTTAATTTCTTTGAAGGTGTTGAGATACATCCTTTCAGTTTCAACCAGTAGCATCCTGATATGTTTTTGTCAAAAAAAACTGTGACCCTCTGAATAAAAAATTAAGGGGAAACAAACCCAAGTTAACATGAACTTTCTGTCTAACAACACAAATATGGCATATAGCACAAGTATCTACTTTATTCAATACTTACCCCATGTTGTTTAAAGATTGTTGAAAAGGCTTCCAACATCCCTTGGTGACTGTGCTGATACCCCACAGCAATAGAAGATGAAGCTTGAGCTTGAATATGTGTTTTTACTAAGAACCAAGGGCTGCACATTATTCCACCTAGGGCTCCCCCTATGCCAGCTACCAAGACAGTCTTATGAAAAATAAGTTTGCCATCTTTGTTCCTGATAATCCCATTATTATCAGCAAACTGGTATATCCCTAAGAATGAAGAAATATTGATGATATAATCCACTATTTGTCTAAACCAAGTCTAAAAACAAATATCCTCCCACTTACCCACCTAATCTCATTCCATTCAAAACCAACTGTACCCAGAGGGCTGGGACTAGACCCTTTTGGAGGGCTAGAATCCCATCATTTTTAGCAACAGTGTATCCAGCATGCAAGACATTTTTGTAATGAACAGCATGCTGGCCCTTAGCTTTTAGTTCACCTTGTAGCTGCATACGAGTTTTCAGAACTTCCAGGGGGTTTGTGAAACAACAGGCCCCCATTGCTGATGCACCAGCGATTGCAAATTCCATGTTATTTGATGGAGAATATCACTATTATGAAAATCTGATCCAAATGGTAATTACTTTACTTGGTCCTCACTACTCCTCACAATTATCAACAGAGGAAGCTTCTGAATGAGATTTCACATTTGTATTAGTGATGTAATATAAATTCAACTTATGTTACGTTTTACGTTCGTATGTGATGTATAGTAATAATGAAAGAATTCAAAATATCCGGAGAAATTGATATTTTGACCTCAAATCGGATAAACTTTTAAAAATAAAAAAATAAAAACAAAGATTACAAAATAAGGATAAGGGCATCGCGCAATTTCTTCTATTTTCTACAGTGAACAATGCCTCGTGTCCGAAATCCGAACGGTCATAACCATGATGGAAGTATTCCATCATGATCATAGCATCAAGGACAAGGATAGTCTAGTAACTTAGTACTTTTAGTACTCTCAGTTGACATGAAGAAGTGGCTGAAAAGTTAAGGCCGGAAGCCGGTAATAATCAAATAATCCAAGAAGATTGAGGTTACGTTTCATTGTTTTGATTCTGATTTCTAATGTTTTCTTGTTTTGTTATGATTCTTTTAGATTTTCATAGATTCCCCATTAATTTCAGTAGGTGAATGAAAAACACTTTCTCAACATTACTAGTATGGATCCTTCAATTGAAATAAGACGACTATTACCAAGTCAGCTGAAAGAACTATCCTCTAGATTGGAAAACAATGAGTATTGGAAAGACCTGATGAAGATAATACCTAAAAATCTGGATTCAAATAACTTCAAGTGCGATATCAGTGTACACAATCAACACAAGTACCATTCAGAACATTTCAGGTAAGCATGTTATATTTTCTATTGAAACATAACTCAGTTATTTGAGGGAATTTGAGATGAATTCTTCAGCCCCAATTCAAGAAAACATTAAATCAACTCTATAGCAGGACACAAGCTCAGATTACCTGAAAATTGGGTTTTTGGCCTAATAGCTATTTAAATTTAATATCTAACTAAATCTGAGCTCTCCTGGCATAGTTTCAAAATAATACCTACTATGATTAGGTTCCAAAGTAATCTCAAATATACTATTTTGTGTTGAGTAGAAGTTGATAACTTTAATTCCATCAGTAAAAATATTCTTGCTCCAGTAGGACCTTTTTGTAAAATATTTCATTTATCCCTATAAAATCTTTAAGTGTATAGACTGCTGACAGTGCTGACTAGTCTATACTATATACTAGACTATACTTTTTCTTTATACTGCCCAGCTTGTGAAAGAAAAGTTGCTGTGATAAATTATCTGTATCTGCAATAATAATGTAAAAATATCAGGGCAGAGACATTTTATTGATAAAAGGAGTAATAAATTCTTATTTTCCTAGCCTCCCCTGGAAATGATTCTGCATGATTCTCTGTTGCTCTTCAATTAACAGTGCTGCTCCTAAGTTATATATGTATATACATACCAACAAAGTACATATACTACAAGTAATGTAAGAAAATTAAAAAATGGATTTTCGAAAAATTCACTTTTTCCATATATCCCGGGATATAACTGAAAAATTATCAATAATTTTTAAAATTTCCCTAGCTGTTGGAATGACCCTCTCAATGCACACTTTTTTTCCAGTTTGAACCCAATTCATATCTTCTACCATTTCTTGGTCCCACATTAGTTGACTTTATTATCAATTAATACAGCATCCACTTCTAATAATTTGACAATTCAAACTTCTTGATTTTGGAAATGAAGGTCAATAATTATAAGAACTGAAAGTTATTTGAAATGTGAATTTCAAAAACAGGTAGATACCTAATTATTGTGGAATAATTATATATTTATGTTTTTTGTGATGTTTTTGCCACTTTTATTATAAATATTCAGACTTTTTAAGATCAACGATGTTGTGGATATTGCTGGTTTCCACCTTGAATGGATTCTTTATACAGTATGTCTAAATTCTAATGGAAGCATCCATTTAATCTAATATATAAAATTCTTCTGTCCTGGTCATGGTGTTGTGGTCGAACTCCTCCGAAATGGTTCCACCGATTCGTATGAAATTTTTTGTGCGTATTCAGTAGGTATGAGAATCGGTCGTAATCTATTTTTTAAATCGAAAGTTTAAGATGGCGGATCCAATATCTAGTATTGTTATCCGATTCCATTCAAAATTGGTATTTGGGGGTTTTCGGGGTCGGAGATTATGATTATTTCGTCAAATTTTGGAAATTCAAGATGACGGATCCAATATGGCGGACGAGTTTTGTAATTATGGTCAGATTCCATTCAAAATTGGAATCTGGGGGTTTTCGAGGTCGGAGATTATGATTTCTTCATCAAAATTAGAAAATTCAAAATGGCGGATCCAATATGGCGGCCGAGTTTTGTAATTATGGTCAAATTCCATTCAAAATTGGCATCTGGGGGTTTTCGGGGTCGTAGATTATAATTCTTTCGTCAAAATTTCGAAATTCAAGATGGCGGATCCAATATGGCAGACAACTTTTGTAATTATGGTCAGATTCTATCAAAATTGGTAACTGGGGGTTTTCGAGGTCATAGATTATGATTCCTTCGGCAAAATTAGAAAATTCAAAATGGCGGATCTAATATGACAGAACAGTTTCTAATAATGATCAGATTCTATTCAGAATTAGTATCTAAGAGGGATTTCCAGGCTCGGAGACAATGATTCTTTCATCAAAATTTGGAAATCCAAGATGGGAGTTCCAATATGGCGGGCGAGTTTTGTAATTATGATGTGATTCCATTAAAAATTAGTATCTGGGGGATTTTAGGAATGCAAATTATGATTCTTTCATCAAAATTTGGAAATTCAAAATGGCGAATCCAATATGGCGGACGGGTGTTGTAATTATGTTCCAATTCTATTCAAAATTAGTATATGGGTGTTTTCGTGGTAGGAGATTATGATTCTTCCGTCAAAATTGAGAAATTTAAGATGGCGGAACCGATAAAGCGAACAAGTTTTGTTATTATGATCCAATAATTCTATTCAAGATTGGTATCTGGGATTTTCGGGGACGGAAATTATGATTCCATCGTCGAAATTAGAAAATTAAAGATGGCAGATCCAATATGGCGGACAAGATTTGTAATTATCATACGATTCCATTAAAAATTTGTTATCTGGGGGTTTTCGGGGTCGGAGATCATCATCTTTTTCTTCAAAATCGGGTAATTCATGATGGCGGATCCAATATGGCAAACTAGCTCCGTAATAAATATTAGTTTGAAAAACTCATAATAAAACACGCTTTAATAGATAGCCAACCTCGAGGTCAAACTGAAATTAAGTAGAAAATTGATTGTATAGTTTGAAAAACTGAAAAGATAGACTGTTGAACTGAAAAAAAGTAGAAAATAAATAGTAGTTTGAAAAACTAAAGGAACGCGATTTTATGGATAGTCAAACTAAAAAGAAGTAGAAAACAAAGTAATAGAAGTGTGTTGATAAATATTCAACTGACAAAATATTTTCTAGAAATAAATGTATATAGGAAAACAACGTTTGCCGGGTCAGCTATTGCAATAAATAGTAGTTTGAAAAACTAATGAAACACACTTTTATGGATAGCCAAACTAAAAAAAAGTAGGAAATAAAATAACAAAAGATTGTTGATGAATATTTAACTGAAAAAATATTTTCTAGAAATAGTGTTTATGACAAAACAACGTTTTCCGGGTCAGCTAGTCTTACCTAATTGTTGAGTTTGGATTCTGAAATTTGCAGGAGCCGGAGATATACCGAAAATAATACGTTTTCGGGAAATTATATTAGGAGGCAAGATTAGGATTAGCAATTAGGACGTTCAATTCACTCACTATTCATACTTTTCCAAAAAAAATGCAGTTCTGAAAAATTGAATTTTGTCTCACTTTTCATGAAAGCACCCCCGCTTATGTAATTATTGAGGTAAGATTCTGAAATCTGCAGGAGCAAGAAAGAGTTCAAAGATACAGTAAAATGACCAACTAAGATTATCATCACTCATCAGTGATATACACTGCTCAACAGTAGCCATGTGGCTCCATTGCTGCTGGCGACCAGTGTAGATCACTGATGATGATCTCAGTTGGTCGTTGGTTGTATCTTTGGACTCTTTTTTCCTCCTGCAAATTTCAGAATCCTATCACAATAATTACGTAAGATACGGGAGTGCTTCCATGAAAAGTGAGTCACAATTTGATTTTTCAGTACTGAAAAATTTCCGGAAAAAACATGAATAGTCAGAGGGTTGGACTGGATTGGACGTCCTGATTTCGAATCCGAAGTGATTTTCAACCTATCATGCCTCCTAATAACATTTTCCGGAAATAAGGGTGGTTCCATGGCTCTTGGCGAGCAGTGTATATCACTGAAGATGACACCACTTGGTCATAGAGTGTAGTATTTTTGGTATACAGGGTGTCCGGAAATTATGCGCAAAAAATCAAGGGGGTGATTCTACATGATGAAATAAGAAATTCTTTTTATATGTACGTGGGTCCGGAAATGCATAGTTTTCAACATACAGTGTGTTAAAACTTTTGAACAAGATCGGTTTTTTATGAATATCACAAATGTCCTTCTACCAATTCTCTTGAAATTTGGCAATGATATTCTTTGTCAAGAGGGGCTGATATATCCATAATTCAATTGGAATTATAAAGTCCAGTGGCGTCCCGGGGGGCAACCTACCGAATATTATTGTCAATAAAATGTGCGCCACTGATTTTTTGAATTCTGTATCTTCATAACCTATTGACCAACTGAAAATACAACATTTTGGTCTCCTTAATTATTTTGATAATTTGCTTCATTTCCATGGAAAAAAATAATTACCAATTTATTGCATAAATTTGTGCCAAAAAATTCCTTCAAACACTGAGGTGAAAATGATGCGTGATCAATGTCCATAGATATAGAATGAGTACTCTACACTCTGTATATTGAGAACTATGAATTCTCGGTCCAGGAAGGCGTAGTTTTCGATAATTAATTTTTATTCTACGTCTTTGGACATGGATAACACATTTAATTTCGCCCCTGTTTGTGAAGCAATGTTATGCACAAATTCATACAATGAATTGGTATTAACACACTGTATCTTGAAAACTATGCATTTCCGGACCCAAGTATATATGAAATAAATTTCATGTTTTCTCATGCAGAATCACCCCCTTGATTTTTTGCGCATAATTTCCAGACACCCTGTATATCTCTCGCTCCTGCGAATTTCAGAATTCTAATTCAAAAGTTACGTAAGATACAGAGATGCTTCCATTAGGATTATTTAATTAATCAATAGGAAATCATATACACAGCATTCGAACCGTCAGCATCATCTATATGACTTTGGCGGTACTAGCACAACTATTCTGTGGGTCCAAGTGTAATGAAATTTTTTGTATCATTCTGATTTTTTGTTGCTACGAAATACTGTTAGGATGGAATACGGTTCCGATGGAATACGGTTTCGATGAATGATAGAATACAGTTAGTATATGGAATAGGATTCCGTTAAAATACGGTTCTGATATAATACGGTTTCGATGGAATACAGTTACTATTAAAAACGTTTTTGATGAAATACGATTCTGATATTTTACTGCCTCCTCAAATTACGTTTTTGATGAATGGGCGAGTGGACGGATAATGAATTATTGGCATTCAATCACTCCACTGTGTCGTTAGGGAACTAAATTAATTTCTGTAACACTTCTCACGCTTTTTTTAAGTAAATAATGAGTCTATGCATTGTTCAAAATTGTTGAATTTCAGAATCCATTTCAAACGTACCGTCATGGCCGCCATTTGGCGATACGTCGAATAAATGGTAATGTCAGTTTTTATGCTGTTTCGTTATGGGTCAGATAATCTTCCATTTTCACTCATGGTGCAAGGTTGTCAAGTCACCAATTATAATCAATTTATCAAAAAGATTAGAGTCCTGGAGCTAAAATCTACTACTTTTTTCTCTTGTATAATAAATTACTATTATTGGACAAGAAGATAAAAAAATTAGCATGTCTCAGGCATATACGTATTAATAATCAATACGGATAATCTCTATCTGTTTCCATAGCGAAACATGAAGCCGATTTTTGAAGACAAATGACTATCCATAAGGAAAAGTTTTGAAACGATCAAACACATACTGCTTTGATTGAAAGGCTAGTAAACGTCATTGTCCATCGAAACGCATGTCTTTGATGACTACTATAATAGCGCATGGCGCATGAGTATCATGCCACCAAATCCTTATGGATATTCATTTGTTTCATATTTTTGGCTTCATCTTGGCACCCGTTATGATCCGTATTGTTTATTAATACGCATATGGTCTCAGGCAAGGTTCAGGTACTCCTTCAAGGGGGAGCACCTTTCTTTACTTCATTATTATTATTTATCTCTTGGAGTGCACGAAAGGATATTCCTATAATGTTCGTGAAACACCGTGCTTACCTAAGTAGGACAGGGAGAGGAGGCAGGTGTTGGATTGTTTTTAACTTTAGGAGGTTATGAGTTCTTGGAAATACTTCCACGGACAAAGAATTCTAAATCTTCGCCGTTCTATAGACGGACGAGTTTTGGTAGAGTATTGTTCGACATTTTTCGAGGTTAACGACGAAGGAATGTGCTAACTGGGCCTGTAAATATGTGTATTGTTAACTTTTGATCATCTTATTTCTGCTGGAAGATACATTTGTTTCAGCAGATGATTACCGACTTGAAATTCTTTCTCATTTAGCATTTTTTACCTTTTTGGACACACTTAAGGAATTCCCTATTATGTCTCTACTAATAACTTTGTGCGAATTCACAAAGTTTTTATAACACCCTGTACTTTTCATCTGTGAAATTACTACCGTTCAATACCCAATATTCTTTCATTCTTGTCCATTTCAATTGAATAATTCCAGACTAATTGAAAATCACTCAGTGAAATCGAGAAGAACATGCACTGAAATACTATTCGATGAATGGGGAACTTCAGGGAGAATAAGACCCACCCTTGGGCACCTGCTACACCTCTTGGTTAAAGCAAAACTTTTTAAAGCTGCTGATTACGTGGCAGTGGAGATTTTGCGTCAGCCCAAACCACAGAGGCCTGAAGGTGGTCCTGAAGCTGAAATAACAGTTGATCTAGAAAAAATTAGAGAACAGGAGGATGAGATGGAAAGGCTCTTAGATGAAATTGATTACCCAACACAAGCAGTGAATTTGATAAGGAGCAATTCAGCTAAGGCAGCTTCAGTGAAAACACCGACACAGATTCCCGAAATTATTGTCACACCTGATGTTGATTTGGAAAATAATGTGCCTATTTTTGAAACACCTGTGGTCATACAGAGAGAAAGAGATAGTCAACATACAGAGAGACAGGTTTCAGATATGATCCAATTTTCATCTGATCAAATTTCTAACTCAGGGGAAGGAACAAATCGTCCCACTGAAATAAGCACCCCGTCAAACTATTCGAATTCCAGTTCAAGTTCGTACATAACAGATGATACATGCACTTCAACTGAGACTTCTGATTCTAATCAAACCAGCGGTCCTGCCTTCAGTTTGATTTTAGGATCATCTGAGCCAAATGAACCTGCACCTGCAAGTGATTCTGAGAACTTTCCTGCATTCAGTCAAATCACTGATGTGCCTCCAAATCTTCCTGATCTGAGTTTACTGAATCTTGAAGACGACACACAATCTAACGCTGAATCCCCTACAGATTACAGTTCTGTAGTTCCATCAGGAAACAGCTTCTGCATTCCTGATCTTCAAGCACTACAAAGCGATACCCAACATGATTTGGAAGAAGTGGAAGAAGGGTTGTCTAGTGCCTTACCGGACTTTGGTGCCTTAAACATTACAAGTGATGGTGTCTTGAACATTACAAGTAATCCTAGTGCCTTGAACAGTACGAGTAATAGTAGCGCGGCTAGTCAAAGCGTAACACTGAATGTATCTTCACGGGTGTCTTCTAATAACTCGCTCAGATCGACTTGCTCCTCTCCACTGCCCGTTCTTTCTTTGAACACCGAGCTGCCTCACTTCAGCTATTCCAAGCTGGTGGCTGCCACGAATAACTTCAACGAAGAACGCTTCACCAGTGAAAACGCCAGCGGAAGATTCTTAGGTTCGGGGGAGTTCGGATCGGTCTTCCTCGCTTTAGATCTGATCGACAGGCGGGTGGCTGTCAAGAAGTTGTCGCTGGGTGGACTGGAGGTCGTCAATGTCGACGATCAGGTGACCAAGCAGTTTCGCAACGAGGTGGAGGTGCTGAGCAAGTACAAACACGAGAATTTGCTGACGCTGCTCGGGTTCTCCTGCGACGGGTGCACGTATTGCTTGTTGTACGAGTATATACCTGGAGGAGCTCTCAGAGATAGATTACAGGTAACTAATCGTGAATCTATGACCTACACTGGTAAACTAATTATAATAACCTATCTACAAGATGCTCGTTTCAAATCCCATATCAGAAAATCAGTATAGGGTCATTCTGTATAATTATTTATACAAGGTGTTTTATTGGCAAACATATTGGATAGAGGTCACCAAGGTGGTCCCAAATATACCAAATTTCTTCTATTTCACAAATTCTATAACAGAGATATAGAGTGTTTTATTAATTTAGTTTTTTTTTGTACGGACATAACTAACAAACCATCCATTATATTTTCTTGATATTTGACACACATTTTGTTTTTTCCACACACAGAGCGACAAACATAATACTCAGGAAAAATCCAGGTTTGGATTGATGAAAATTCAGTAAATCAATGTATGATGGAACTAACACCCTGTATTATCAAATTTTCAAAATTTGCTGCGAAATCTGGAATAGCACAACAAATAGAATAAAACGGTGTTCGCTCCGTTTCCGCTGTTCACTTTTAGTGCCAAATTTTAAGCTTGACTGAGTTTTTTTCTGGATTTGGATTTTAATGATTGACCTTGTGAAGCTTCTGCAAGATTTAGCATTGACCCTGTAAAAATTGCTATGGGTTGCGTGAAAGGTGGATAGTCTATTTTCATCATGGTTGCGTGCAAGAACTGTCAGATGACCGACCCTGAAGGTGAAAAATTGAAACACAACCTCACTTTTCTTATTGAAGTGAAGTGATTGAAATAGTTTTTCACGATTATTTTGGCATACGAATCATGTTTTTCGGCTATTCATCATTTCGCGCATGCCATCACATTGTGCTGTTGTACAATGCACAAAAAATGCAGCGGGAGACGAAGGAATCCGGTTGGTACATTATGATTTAAAAGTAAGTACCTACTATAGTCACTCACATGTTGTTTTCATTTTGAAATTTGGTAATTTCTCTGATTTCTCATCGGAATTCCTTCTGCAATAGGAGCTAATAGAAATACTCGTGAAATTTTTAAAATAATGCAAGAAGATTGGATTTATGCAATAAAACGGGAGGACTGGTCTGACATGCTGAAGAAATATGATCGGGTCTGTTGTAGAAATTTTCAATCTATTAGCAGTATTAGCTTCTATTGCAGAAGTGGCAGAAGGAATTTGAATAAGAAATGACAAAATTTCATGATGAAAACTATGTGAGATTACTATTTACCTGAAACGGCACAATGAGAAGGCATGCTTGAATTAATGAATAGCGCAAAAAAGGCGATTCGTATGCCAAAATATTGTGAAAAACTATTTCAAGAAAGTGAGGTTGTGTTTCAATGTTTCACAAAAGAGTGAGGTTATGTTTCAATATTTTACCTCCAGGGTCGGTAATTGTGCACGCGACCAATTATTTTTAGTTTTCTGAACAAATAAAAATACCTATATGTAGAATACTACAATGCATGCTGTATTTTTCAGGTTGACGAAAACATTCTTTCATGGAAACAACGTTTGAATATTGCTGTAGGAACATCGAAGGCCATTTCTTATTTGCACACTGGGTTCTCAATCCCACTAATTCACAGAGACATAAAATCGGCAAATATTTTACTTGATTCGAAGAACAATCCCAAGGTAATCTAATATGTTGAAGTTTTTTACGACTGCTATTAAAATTGGTCCAAATCGCAATACCAGCTTCGCCTGAAATACATTGATTACAGACAGTGGCGTGCATACAATAGAAGCATATTATAAGCATTGCCTACCCCATAAAAATTCAAATTATTGATACACAGTTTTTAACACAATTTTCTTTTGCCGATATATCTATTCTTTTATAAAAATAGATCAACTATATGTCTGAGTACTCTCACAACTCATAATAATACAATACAATCCGCTTCGCCGCTATTGGCTCTACTCTGTGTACGCAAATCAGCATCCCGTTTAAAATGAAAGCAAAGCAATTGCGCTGATCAATAGAAATTCATATGGAACGAAAAAACATCGATTTCGACCTGCAATAAGCCATCGGCACTCGAGCCGTGACGACGCAGAGCGGGACCGATTTCCACTACCCAAGCGGTTACGAACAATAATATTTGGGCAGATGATTAGGTTGCATGTAATTTAATACTTTTACGTTTCTACCTCACCTATGATTGTATTTCTTCCATAAGGATTTTTTTTTCAATCAAGCAATAATTATTCGAATGTTGAAGCTGGAAGATATATTTCTTTTAATATAAAAGTTATTTTTTTTATTTTCATTTTCGAAACCTTATCATTATTTTTTCGTGGTCGTCCACCGTTACTGCAATCTCTACCTGCAATGATTTTTCTTTCTCTCCGTATATTCGATAATCACAAGGGAATTTTAAAAATACCGCCACGGCAGCACAAGCATAACTGAGCGAGAGGTCGTTATATTTTTCTCTCCCTCCCGCGGCGAACCGGGGGGATATTCAATATTCGCATACGGAAGACGGCCAGGGACTCAGTGTTGCCAGGTGTGGCGATTTATCGTATTTACGGCTACTTTTTTGGTGAAATGCGACATTAAATTGAATTTTCGACTAGCGACAATTGTGGCGATATTCTGAAATTTACAGGAGATTTATTGACATCATGTGACGATGCGACAGTCATTGGTAACATTCTCCATCAAGTTTTGTAAATAGGCAAAATGTCAGGATTTACTAAGGAAACGAATCGACTGTTTTCTGCATTCCACATTTTGAAATTTTTGCACGCCACTGATTACACATATCCTATGAAAATTAAACATTTTCAAAGGCTGGGTGAGTTCGAATACGTACTTTGTGGGGTAGAGTTTACTCATTAGCGTTCGCAATTTGTTAGATTGTGTATATTCGTGTATATTCGACTCTGTAGCTGTCGAGGTAGCTGTCTAATGAGTAGATTTTGATGTTGGAAAAAATCAGAAAAACTTCAGAAAGTGGCACTGAGGTTCTAGACTTTTTTTTTTTATCGCTTGGAGCGCACGAGAGGGAATCCCTATAATGTTCAAAGAACATCGTGCGTTCCTAGGGAGGATAGGGATAGGAGGTAGGTATTGGAATTTTTTTTGAACTTCTGGAGATTATATGTTGTTGGGAATACTTCCTCAGGCAATGAATTCCAGAGCCCACCCGTTCTATGGATGAAGGAGTTTTGATAAAGTGCTGTTCGGCATCTTTCGAGGTTGACAACGAAGGGATGTGCTGACTGGGCTTGTCTAGTTCGTCTGACTGGTATTGCTAGTGAAGGGATGATAGCAGAGATTTCCGAAGAACATTTCCCGTGGAAGTATCGATAGAAAAGTGAAAGGTCGCCGACCTTTCTACGGTGTTCCAATGATGTCAAAGAGCGAGTGAGTGTGGCGTCACCCACCAGGCGGATGGCTCTTCTCTGGATGGAATCTAAGAGCATCAGCGTATGTTTCGGTGCTGAACCCCATATGTGGGAACAGTATTCTAGAACAGGCCGTATCTGCGCTTTGTAGATCATGAGGAGCTGTTGAGGTGTAAAGTAGCATTTCGCACGGAATAAGAATCCGAGTTTTTGTGAAGCAGCTTTTGCGATGGATCTGACATGACTGACCGGTAGTGACAGATTAATGCAACGTTTTTAAATGCATACATTGGCGGCGGAAGGGGGCCAAGCCCACAACAAAACATTGTCCAGCCCACCCCAAATTTCATGACATAAGTAGTAATTCACTTTATTTCGTGACAACCATGCACTTGTCATCAAAGATGCGAAGAGCACTTCATCCCTTCCCGTCTGCCACACTCCTCCCAGTCCCCCTTGTGGTCAGAGGTTTCGAAATTTGCAGAGCACTATGACTTGTTTATCGAACCAGTGCGTATGTCCAAAAAACGACGAATGCCGCAAACTTTGCCCCATTATATATCGAAGACTGGAACATTTGGCACGATAATACACTACACTGTTTTACCACTAACCAAACCGATTTTTTGAACGGCTCGACACGTGTTTCGCTAACAATGTTAGCATCTTTAGGAGAAGATTAAAACTAAATATCTTCTTCTAGTGTGCTGACCGGATTGGTCGATGATGAAGTGCTATTTTCAGCTCTCATTACTATAGGCGACTGAGATTAAGATCGTAGCGCCAGAACGGCGAATGTCGGTACTACTCTATGGGCCATTGGCGGATTGTTTACATTGTTTTTCAGTGGCTTATAATGTTCGATTGAGGAAAATATTATATCTGTTCAACAGTAGATAACATACCTATCTCTAGTTGAAATGTATATGTACCAAATACGTAACCTGTAAGTTTTCATCATTATTGAACAAGATTTCTCATTATTTAACCTGTATGGTATGGTGATTTCCCATCTAGCATACCTTTTGGGAATGAAATTTTCTTCCGAAGGTAAAGTTATATACCTATTTTATACTTGAATTTTTACAACAATAATCAAATACCTCTATTTATATTCATGATACAAAAACTGAATGTAAAAAATGTTAATCAGTTGAAAATTTGTTTGATTTTTTCTCATTACCCCAAGAAATGGGTATTATATTCATAATAGACATATATCAAAATATATGAGTAAATTTTCAGTAAAGTGAAAGGAATAATCTCTCATGATATGTTCAGACACTTTTTTCCAATCTTTCCACACCTTTTTTCTATCGATCATTTCCTTGCTTCTTAACTTAGTTTCTAATACAACTTAGGATTATCCTGATTTTGCAAAGGTATGAAAGCTATATTCGGGATTTTTTGCTCAAGATGAACAATGAGGTACACAACAATAATGATACATGTTTTTAAACGTACTATAAGGAAGATTTTATTGGGTCTCAATACTAACAAAGCTTGTGGCTCCGACGGAATCCCACCGATTGTTCTCAAGAAATGTGCTCCCGAACTAACACCTCCCACCGATTGTTCTTAGGAAATGTGCTCCCGAACTAACACCTGTTCTCTGCAAGTTGTTCAACTACTCTTACAAATTGGGGATATTCCCGTCCAACTGGAAAATTGCAAGAGTACAACCAGTTCCTATAAAAGCCAAAAAGACCCTACCTAACAACTACAGACCGATCGCACTGCTATCTATTATTTTAAAGATTATGGAGAAAGCTATCAACATCGAGCTCATGAAATACCTGGAACATTCAGGTATAACAACGATAGTCAATATGGCTTCCGTCATCAGAGATCAACTGGTGACCTGCTCGCTTACGTCTCACATAAATGGCAGCAATCTATTGAAAAATATGGTGAAACCTTAGCCGTGGCACTTGATATCTCCAAGGCATTCGATCGAGTCTGGCACCACAGACTCCTCGCCAAGCTTCCATCTTATAGCTTGCCTCCCCAGCTATGTTCTCTGCTAGCTAGTTTTCTCTCAAACGGGTCTCTCCATGTAGTGGTCGACGGCGGAGTGTCATCAATTCTAGCACCAACACTATTTCTACTCCATATCAACGATTTGTTGGAAGCAACTTCATGTCCAGTACACAGCTTCGAGGATGATAGTACCCTCCATACCGCCTTCTCTTCCAGGGCTCCAATACCAGCCAGGCAAATCAGAAACATAAGCTTGTCAGGAGTAATCATTCCTTTGAAGACATCCATTTCGATGCTTCGGGCCAGGAGCTATTTCACTTCCAGTCAGTTTCTTATGATCTATAAGCCACAGATCCGACCTGTCCTGAAATACTGTTCCCATATTTGGAGTGCAGCACCCAAACATACCCTGAAACTGTTAGATTCTGTCCAAAATAGGGCAATTTGTCTCGTGGGTGATGCATCGCCACAAACTCACTCACTTCTCTGGAACACCGTAGAAAAGTTGGCGATCTGGCTCTATTTTATAGATATCTTCATGGACGATGCTCTTCTGAAATATCAACAATTGTTCCTCCCTTGGCAGTCCCCGCGAGATTAACCCGTCGAGTTGAGGCTTCGCACCCCCTTCGTGGTCACTTTGGAGACCTGCAGAACATCTCTTTCCAAAGACTCGTTCATCCAACGAACAGCGAGGCTCTGGAACACATTACCAAGGGAGGTGTTCCCCGAGGCATATAACCTCCAGAAATTCAAGAAGAACACCAATTCCTACCTTATTTCCCTTGATTCTCACGATGTTCTCTGAACATTACGGGATATTCCTTTTCGTGGGAACCAGAACATAAAAAAAGTTCTCAAACAAAATTATAGACGATTAAAACACAACTTGTTCTCATACAAAACACATGCAATCAATGGCCCATACGTTAGTTATAATAGAAAACGGTAGAGGGCGTATTCCTTAGCAAGATTCACCTATTCTCACAAATAATCTGTGGTAATTTTTCAGTTAGGTGATTTCGGGTTGATCAAGTTGCTCCCAAATCAGAGCGCCAGCGTTGGCACTTCAGTTTTCGGAACTTCTGCCTACATGCCTCGGGAAGCATTCGGTAGAGATATATCTGTCAAACTAGATACATTCAGTTTCGGTGTGGTCCTCCTCGAGTTGATTACCTCTCTACCTCCAGTGGATGAAGACAGAGATGGTTCAGATTTGGTAAGACCAATAGGCCTGTTAAATATGTTATTTCATTTTTTCAAAGTACTAGGGTCCCTTGATGTAAATTGACGTATTTGTCATCTTGACAGGGGATGGACAAATCCTCGTCTCCTCTCACTCTAAAGTGTTTGTGAAACATTTATACAGGGTGTTTCATAATTGGATGTCAATATTTGGGGAGGCGTATCTTGGGCCCATTCTAAGAAGAAAGTTTTATATTAACGTAGGACTTAAACGTCCTAACTTTTGAGATACAGGGTGGCAAAGTTCTCAAAAATTAATAGTTTTTTATTAATATCTGTAAAACATACTTCAGATATTCTAATGAATTTTGGCATACATGTACTATGTATCAAGAGGCATCAGTTAGTGTGCCACATGTTTTTTGGTTGCCACCAGTGGCGTTCGTATGGAGTTTTACATACCTATTTTGGCAGACATTGATGGTACTCCACTGATTAATCTCGAAATTGAAATCATTTCTGAAATTCCCAATCATTTCTAAGCAAATTTGATCACCACATTTTTTTCAATCTGATGCACGGTTTTCGCTTGAAAAAATAAAAAGCTTTTCACTACATGATTATAGCAATATCGTTAATATGACAATATCACAATGCAGAGAAATAGATTTTATTTTTTAGATCAAATTTCAGTAATACAATTCATAGTTTATGAACTTTCTATTCGTATTTGGTGTTTTGGAATTATAACTTTCCATTGTAATAGGCTTTATTAATTTTTGAGAACTTTACCACCCTGTATCTAAAAAGTTAGGACGTTTAGGTCATACTTTCATATGAAAATTTCTTCTTAGAATGGGCTCAAGAATCGCCTACTCGAATATTGACATCCAATTATGAAACACCCTGTATAGTTTCATCTTTATTCATTTCTAGGGATAAACACTAGATTTCTGGCAGTTGTTGATTTTTAGGTTATATTGAGGACATTGGCGTATCATACGTAATTTCCACATGTAATTTCTCATTCACCTCTACATATGGTGAAAAATCGTATGTAGGAATTTGAACTAATGTGCTCATATTATTATGTCATGTGTGCTAAAAAATTGTTCTAAAATTGTTCTATCCGTCATTCGGTTGCCCCCTTACGAGCAACCCTCAGAAGTCTTCAAGAGTCTTGTGCGAGCAAGGAATGACGGGGGCCTTACCTTTTAACGTGTGATCCCAAACACTTTCTTGGGCCATCAGAAAAATGTCTGCAGTCGACGGGACTCGAACCCACGACCGGCAAGCGAATGCGGATTAGAATATGGACACTCTGTCCGCACGGCTACCTGGCTGTTTATATTCACCATTTTTGCAGTTTTTCACGAACACTTAATATTTCCTGAATGTATGTATAATTTTCTACATGGTAGGGCATATGCCTCTTCTTTTGATCCTCCGTTTCAATCAAAACTGTTTCTACTGAAATGCATTCAAAAACTTGTGGAGTGGATAATTATAGGCACAATGAGAAAGTATAATATTTGATTTCGTATTAGATTTACCTCGAATATTTTGCTGATGTATTTACCAATTTTCCCCATTCGGTCACTTCACTTTCCATGTTCTAAGTTTATTAATCAGCACCAGAATGCACAACTTTGTTCCAATTTGAGCAACATCGTATATTTCAAGATATATATATAACCCTGTATATAAGGGTGTGACGTATACGTATACGTTCAAAAATTAAAACTGACTCCGCAGAATCTATCCCGTAGCTTAACGTCTGTATTTTTGCATACAGGTGACTCATATAAGTGAAACAGTGGAAAATGATGATATACTTCCTGTAGTGGATTTCAAAGCAGGAAGTTGGTGCGAGAGTGATGTGAACTATGCCCTAGGACTGTACAGGATAAGCCTCGAATGTTTGAAGGAAAAGAAAAATCGACCCACCATGGTCGAAGTGAAAATGGCTCTAGACGAACTCACAAAAAATGTACAACTCTTCTAATATTGATGCTTGGAATAGATCTTTCACGGCCTTTCTATTTAGATGACAAATGATTATCATTGTTTGATTCTAGAAACCACCTTCGGCGACAAGTAATTTTTTTATCTACAACTATTGACTCATTCATGCATTGCTACTGCTAACTCAATTTCGAGTAATAGGGCATAATGACAGTAAGATGAAGTAACATCCCATCGTCTTGTCAAATTTAAGAGTGTTCTGTAACTACTGTTTGTGGAATACAAGTTAATTCAAAAGACTAACCTTATATGGTTAAATACTGTCTGTAGGTTAATCGAGGAGGTGGTACATTCATTATTCCGAATTTTTTGGGATTTTCTTATATGGTTCTCATAGTTTTAAAACAGCAGTGGTGACTTGCGCTCTTTCAGACCGCCCAGAATCTATTTTTTGAATTTTGGCGTTGTTGCGCGATCCCCCTTTCACTGCTTCCCTCTATCTTTAACTTTTTTTGGGTCTCTTCTCGCACTGTAAACCAGATAGCGCTAGCGTTAGCACGAAGCCAGTAGTTATTGTTTTCGGACTGTCAGACCGACGTCACCAGTGAAGTAACAAATCTGCTATATTATTATTTCTTCTTTTAACTCGTTTTATGTGAAATTGAGCGTATTCAATCACAGGTATATATTCTTATACAAATAATATATTATTCTCAATTCAATACAAGATCCTCTTCATCCGTCATACATGTTTTCATGGGATGAAAAATTCTTGGTTTTTCTGCTCCTATAATATGGATGATTCCTATTAAAAATAATATTTTATTTATATACCTGTGATTGAATACGCTCAATTTCACATTAAATGAGTTAAAAGACGAAATAGTAATATAGCAGATTTGTTACTTCACTGGTGACGTCGGTCTGACAGTCCGAAAACAATAACAACTGGCTTCGTGCTAACGCTAGCGCTATCTGATTTACAGTGCGAGAAGAGACGTGTACGTAAGATACAGGGGTGTTTCCATTAGAAGTGGGTCACACTGTATATAGTTTTTTATCACAAAAAAATATTGAATGTCTCTCAGACCGACGTCACCGCTCATGTTTCGTAAAACCACGTCGCCACATATCTGTTAGCTCGATTCCATCTGTTAGCTCTGTTCGTTAATTGTCAGAGCGAGCTGAAAGATGTATTGTGTTTGCTCCGCCTTGAGGAGCAGATCATTCAGATTTGATCGGTTATTCGGTTGTCAATTGTCAACAAATCAATGTCAACAACATGTTATTGAAATTATATCTCTTTTATGTCGAAAAATTGAAGACTCGATCAACTGGAAACGAAACACGAAACTGAATTTTGTAGAATCCTCCTTGCCCAGAATCGCCAGAATGACCGACGAATTTGCTGTAGGAGGCATATTAATTATATATCTGTAATATATGCGATCACAACTGCCCTGGATCGACAGTTAATGACCGATCATATGAGACAGAATCATTCCTTCCCAAGTAATTATCAAAATATAACAACAAACATTCAAAAGAACTTTGTTGCCCTGACGTGTTTTTAAAAGTAATAAGGTTAAGTGAATTGTTTCTGTTTTCTGTTACTTCTTACAGCTGGCACTCGCAATCTACTACCTCGTTGAGCGTTCGTTAAATATCTTTAGCTCTATCTGCTAGGTGATCACGTGACACCAAATCTGCATCTGCTCGCTCGGCTCCGATTTTGTTAAACCGAACGCACCTACTAGGTGCGTTACTGGAGGGGTAATAACCATTCTACAAGTACACGGAAAAATGAGAATTATCATCATCATTTTCAACAATGATTATATACCAAGGGATCTTAACATGAACTTAACCATGAGTAACCATAAAATATGACTTAACACTTGACAGTTACACAATAGTAGTTGCACAGACCATTCAGAACGATGGAACTTCATTGTTGATGAGGTTTTGACATACTGATGAAACGATATAAATAAGATTGACTGATGCGCTGGCATGACTTTCTTCCTGGTAATAAAAATTAGATCCAACATTGCTCATCATATTTTCACAAATATTGAAACAAGTTATAAGCTTTTCATTGAAATTTGTAATTATTGTCAATAAGATTTCGAAGACCATGAGTGAATTTATACAGGGTGTCCGCTAAAAGGAGGTCAATTCATTAACCATATATTCCTTGAACGAAAGTTTTTAAATACCATTTTGTCAAAGTTGGAAATTAAAAACTGTTTTTTTCTAATTATTTGCGTATTTCATAAGATATCAATCTCAAAATTGGTACATTCCTTCAGCATGAAGAGTTACATCGTGTGAGGAAAACAAAACAGAAAATAACTGTCAAATATTCAAAATACTGGGGGTTAAGTACACACTTACCTCCACATTTCCTTTGTACGTGCGGTAATGACTTTCTATCTATTTTTCTTCAAGTGTTCAATCATTTCTGAGTATTTTTTGTGTTTTGTAAAATTTCGATAAAATCATTTGTTTTTAAGATAATTCGAAAAGTACTGGTTATTGTTTGATGCCTATGCGGCTTACGATAATCTCATAATGTTCACATACTCCTATTCATTTCGTCGAAATTTGAAGAGGGCGTAACTTTTCACGTATGAAAAGGTAAATATGGAAATACCAGGTGTTCAGAGCGAATGTATCAAAATGATTTTTACAAAAAAAAAACATAGAAATTCAACACGTCTAAATGAATTGCTCCATATGACCTCCAATTAGAAAGTCATTAGCGCACGTACAAAAAAAAATGGGGGTAAGTGTGTACTTAACCCACAGTATTTTGAATATTTGACAGTTATTTTCTGTTTTTTTTTCCTCACACAATGTATTTGTGCTGAAGGAATGTACCAATTTTGAGATCAATATCTTATTAAATATGCGAGTAAATAAAAAAAACCAGTTTTTAATTTCCAACTTTGACACCCTGTATATCGAATATGAAGGGCTAAAATGAAAAATGGTATTCAAAAACTTATATTGTTTTTGTTCATGGAATATATGGTGAATGGATTGACCTCCTTTTAGCGGACACCCTGTTTATTTCTGAACTGACAAAGTTGCTTTGATATTTGAATAGTTGTTGATAAAGTATAGTATTCTACTCGCGCATAATGGCTATTACCCACGAAGATGAAAGTTGCAGTGTAATCATTATGCTCTCGTTGAATAATATACTATTATCTTATGAAATGAAACTTGACCCTTATTTTATTGACATGCAACTTGAATTAAAACTGAGGACAGTATATAGAGCCAATTCCATCTAATTATAATCCGCCTTGGAAATGGTACAAACACAAATAAATTAGCTGAAGGTTTTGATGGTTAACAAATTTCAAAATAACGCCAATTTTAAAATAGACCAAATCTTGAAGGTTGTCTTGTCAACTTTGCAATTTTCCAGCAGAAGTTGAATCATCTGACGTTACGATAACATAAAAAACTATGGGAAAACCTGCTAACTTTCATCAATCTATAAACATCTCAGCCAGGAGTTGAATCTAATGACTTTGGCGACCGCGAATAGGTCTAAAAGGATCTCTATTTTTGTACATACCAAAGATTTAATGATTTACAGATAGGGTTAATACCGTTGATACCATATATATTTATATAAGTATGGGTACTGATTCTAAAATGATTTGTATTAAATATTGAGATTATATGTTATATTCTACATTGTATATTATTTGATAAAAGGATCATTATTGCTACCAGTAGGTACGATATTATGTATTTTGTCTAGTGTTCTAGAGTAATTTTGTAAATAAATATTTTATTTATATGTTTAATGTTTAATGCCTCCCCTTCATTGAACAAAGCTCATATACCGGGTGGCTACGGAAGTATTGCCTACGGAATATCTCAGTTATTGTATGAAGTAGGTTTGTGAAATTTGAAGCGTCGATATATTGACATGAGAGCTAGAATTTGAGCATATTGACATGTCGAAGTTAACTTCCGGTCTGACCGGAAGTAACATCAACTTTCTTATTTTGAATGGAAACCCTATTTTTTTTTCTTTTCGCTTTATTCAACATGCAATTCCCTTCCTAATGACATATCACAAATTGGTATCGAACCAGAAACTAGATCAGAAAAAAATTATTATTGAAATCCACTGAGTAGGCCGTGAAAGCAAAATGAAAAACAAAAATTGAAAAGTTGGCTTTGGAAACCATACGTCACTTGATAACAGTTGCTACTACTGTGATATTTTATTTTCATTCGTCGGCGTTATAAAAAGCCGCAAAAAAAATATTGGAGAAATTGGGAAAAAAACAATACTCTGTAGGTCCATAACTTAAATAGGAACATACAACTTTTTCTTGCCTGTACTATTCAGCATAACCATTCATTTCTAATGATACAATAGAAAGTCATTTTTTTGCTTTCATTTTGCTTCCACGGCCTACTCGGTCAATTTCAATAATAATTTTTTTCTGATCTAGTTTCTGGTTAGATACCATCTTGTGATATGTGATTAGGAAGGGAATTGAATTCTGAATAAAGCTAAAAGAAAAAAAAAATAGGGTTTCTATTTGAAATAAGAAAGTTGATGTTACTTCTGGTCAGACCGGAAGTTAACTTCGACATGACAATATGCTCAAATTCTAGCTCTTATGTCAATACAGGGCGTTGCATGAGCAGACTCACATAGCCGAATGGTTGATAGGGGAAATCAAGACGAGTTGATGTATGTATATGAAAAAATTTTTTGACCCTCCATAACGAAGATTATGTGAAATTGCTATATATAACTTTGATCGTCGATAGTACAGAAATGATTCGTCGTAATCTACTGAAATTTGGCAGCGACGTATCACTACTGAAACTATTCAAGATGACATATTATAAAAAAAATATCCAGGTCCGGACTTGGAAAAATTTTATGTTTTTTGTTATAAAAAGTTCACTTTGTGACCACTTTTCTCGAAAAATTCCCTCAGATTCAGAAAGATCAGACAAGATTCTATGAGAACTGCTCTTCAATTTACACGGCACACTTTTTCCGGTTCAATAAAATAATATGAAAAAAATCGTTCGAATGAATTTTAAATTTCGACCTGGCTGATAACTGTCAACTTTCAACTGGTAGATCATGTGAATTGATTTTTCCTACATTTTTGTTGAATAGTAATTGACAGAAGAATAGACGAGAAGAAAAACACGATATTTTTTTTTCGGAATTCCAGATAGATATTATTATTCCTGACTTTGTTTTATGGGTGTCGCTTGAAGTGAGATATCGAGTAGGTCCGGTTTTCCATTGTGTGACGAGACGTGACGTTTGTTGATAATCCGAACTGATAGGTAGGTACTAGGCTAGTACTAGGTAGGTACCATCTGATGAAATTACGACATGAGGATTCATGTGCCCATATTATGGTGATTTATCAAATTAGTTATGCCATCACGCATAAACTAAGCTCCATTTTTTGTTATTGATACACTTCTGCAAGTGACATCCCATACAACACATGGACATCCGATGGATGTCCATAGGATATCCATTCAGGATATTTTGGATATCCAATGGACATCCAAATAACGTCCAATGGATATCCCATGGACGTCCAATGGATGTCCTGAGGCCACCAACTTGTACGTCCATAGGATATCCTTCACGGACGTCCATAAAATATCCTTCAATGACGTCCATAGAACATCGTTCAAGAACGTCCATACGATATCCTTCATGGACGTCCATAAGATATCCCTTATGTTTTCATGGGTGTTCATATAGGATATCCTATGGACATCCAGGTTGGCGGACTAGGATATCCATTGTTCGTCCATAGGATATCCTTTGGATACTATTTAGATGTCCATTTCCATAATCCCTGAATTAATTTCCAGATGACATTCGGATGTCCATGATTTGATTTCATGGTTTGAAATATTATGATAATGGTTCACTGGGTATGATAATGAACATTAATTATAATAATAATATTTAATAAAGAATGAAATTAAACATTACCTGCAATATATTGATCACAAAAAAAATTAAATCCTTTATTGTGGGAAGGGACAAATAACTTAATATAATGTATACAGTGCGTCCATAGAAGTATAACGCATAAATTCTATATCTCTGTGATACAATGTTTGCGAAAAAGCCTCAGACAGGATGATACGTATTTGAGAAAAATCTGAGTTGACAGTTTTTTCGAATGAAAACACCTGTATTTTATTGCATTTCATGATTCTCCCTGAAGAGCTCATTTGATCGATGTTTCACGCACTTGGGGTCTTGTAGGTGAAAAATCGAGATTTCTCAACTTATTCAGGAATTTTTTGTGTCGAAACTATTCATTATTGCTCAAAACGGATTTCATATACCTATACATATATCTTAACTTTTCATTTACTATCAATTGATATTCAATTTAAACAGATACAGGGTTGTGCAGAATTCTGAATTACCCTGTATTTGTTTCAATTAAATGTCAGTAGATAGTAAATCAAGAGTTGAGATAGGGACATAAAAGCCGTTTTGACCAATAACGAATAGTTTCGACACAAAACATTCCTGAAGTTCACCTACAATATCTCTGTAGGTAATCATTTCTGCTAGACCCCAAGTGTGATACATCGATCAAATCAGCTCTTCAGGGAGAATCGTGAAATGCAATAAAATACAGGTTAGGTTAGGTTAGGTTTTGAACAAGGAAAGGATAGGACGTTACCCATATAGTTGTTATTAAATATATGGGACCCACATGGACATCCAAAATATGTTTGGTGAGTCCGACACTGCCGACTTTGTCGACATCTCTATGTTATTCTGGGCGTTATTGTTCTGTCGTTGCAACGACGTGGTTCAATGCTCCAATACAGGATATCCCATGGATATCCATTGGATATCCAAGAAGACGTTGAAAAATTCTATATTCGATATAATATTATATATATATATATATATAGTAATATAACTATGTACACACATAGATTTGAATTTTCATCAATTTAATTCATATTCACAATTTATTACATTGATTATATCCGCGCGGGTGAATTTTGGATATCCTATGGATATCCAAAAAGGTCCAAGGATATCCCGACATGAATTGGACATGATTTGGACGTCCATAGGATATCCCGTGTTGTATGGGATAAGGATATGCATCTGCTATTTATTTTTATTTTTTACTGCAACGTATTCTTGGGTCTGGGAACATTCTAAGGTATTAAACATTTTCGTCTTGTTCAGCATTTGGAATATATGAAGTGGCACCTAGAGTGTAAGAATATTCCGATTACCAGTGTTTACCTATCAACAAACGTCATGTTACATAAAATAAAAACAGGGCCCATCACTTTATAATAAATTTATAAAATAGAGTCACGAGTAATCATATCTATCTAGAAGTTCGATCAGAAACTAACGTGTCAAATCATAAAAGAATCAGTACTAATCTCTTCTGTCAATTTCTATACAATAAAAATGTACCAAAAATCAATTTACACGAATCCAGTTGAAAGTTGAGAGTTATCAGCCAGGTCGAAATTGAAAATTCATTCGAACGTTTTTGTTTCAAATTTTTTTGTTGAACCGGTCAAAGTGTGCCGTGTAAATTGGCGAGCAGTTCTTATAGCATTTTGTCTGATATTTCTGAATCTGATGGAATTTTCTGAGAAAAGTGGTCACAAGGTGAACTTTTTTGACATAACAATGAAATATAAAATTTTACCAAGTCCGGACCTGGATATTTTTTTCATAATATGTTATCTTGAATAGTTTCAGTAGAGGAACGTTGCTGCCAAATTTCAGCAGATTACGACGAATCATTTCTGTAATATCGACCATCAAAGTTATATAGCAATTTCACATAATACCCGCCTGTATCTTCGTTATGGAGGGTCAAAAAATGTTTTCATATATATACATCAACTCGTCTTGATTTCCTCTATTAACCATTTGGCTATGTGAGTCTCCTCATGAAACACCCTGTATATCGACGCTACGACGCTTCAAATTTCACAAACCTACTTATTCATACAATAACTGAGATATTCCGTAGGCAATACTTCCGTAGCCACCCGGTATATAAGGGAGTTATTATGACCCTCTAATGATAGCTTAACTATGATTATATAAGCTTCATAATAATTCCGGTCAGGAATAAAATATTCAATCTGTTTATTATCCACGGCAACATGTACGTGCATATACCTTAGCTGATGAGTAAGAAGAGTTATTATTATTGATTCCTCGTTAAGTCAGGTAACAAAGATAAATATGAAAACGACCCTTGATAATCTGAATTTTATCAAAATATATAATCGAAAATATTGCTCACGATCCATGATCCATGAAACAAAAATGTACTTGAATTTCCACCCCTCTTTCCCCTACCCATTACCTAATTAGTGTAGGAACCTAACTTATATCACTAAAAACTGCTGATAATAAAATAACTAGTAGGTATATATAGGTACATTATCTATAAGTTATGATGGCAAATTATGATTAAAATAGAATAGAAACAAGCATGGATAATGAATTTTGAGCAAGTGGATAATATCGTAATAATTAGATAGATAAGTAGAATAAGTAGGTAGGTTTAATGGTTGGTTTTAATAAAACCGTTTTATGTGCATGATGTTGAACATTCAAAATATTTCATAATTTGAAATTTTAACAGAATTATGGTAAATATTGTATAGCATAAAACTATTTCCTATGGTTCCATACAAAAAAAATTAGTTCATTGAATATTTTTTCAAATCTTCCGACACAACTCCATTTTTTAATTTTCAACCAGGAAAGATTAAGAAGTTATGAGTCATTAAATGCTCAATACAACAATGACAGAAGGAGCTGAAGTTTGAATACAAAAAAGAGAAGAGGAAAAAGTGAGGTTTGATTTTTTGTTTATGTTTATTGTTTTTATTCAAATTTTCAAATCAAATTTGAATTTTGGCTGTGTTCACTGTTACTGTACTGTTCATGTGCTAGTGCCTTTGTATATTTACTGTGGAACATTATTCAGCTGCAGTATTTTTGATGATGATGATGACATAAATATGTGTTTCAACAATGCTGCATTAAACTGAAGCTCAACTTCACCAAATATATTATTGTAGGGTAAAGTGTACTTTGACTAAATTAAACTATCAAGCTGTAAAACACATTTATTATGTACCTATTATGATATCTGATAGACTCATACCTATGAACTGGATTCAAGTTAAAATATTTTTTCAGTCAACCTTTCCAGAACATGTGGAGATTTTTCACCTACTCACAACACAAAGAAATGTATACAAACATTCAGTTTCTTCATCAGAGTACAAACATAATGTACCTATATCAATTTTTTACATTAAAAAATTGAAAATATAATATTGAATACTTATTATGTTTTCCTTGTGTTTGTATGGTAGAGCCGAGGGTAGAGCTTTGTAAAAATCAAATAGAACAAAGTGTCTTATGAGTGAATAACAACAATGAATAAACTTGCCTATTTATTTTCATTATATTCTATTGGAAAAATTGTTATTGAGATTACCTAAAAATCTCATTTATATTTTGAATTTTACACTGGTCCATCGGATATTATCTTTCAAGGATGGCGAAAACTTCTTGGAATTATTGCTGCTTGGACCAGTTTAAATCGCGTCATGTTTGGATATTCTTTATTAGGTACATGACGGAAGTATGTCTGGAATATTAGCGGCAAATAAATCACTGTGCCTTAGATTTGGCTCTGACTGATAGTGATGGCATGGGTAGGTTTTTGAGATCTACCATTCAATTGGTATCAGATGGCATAATTCTTATCTCCTTATCAAATCAAGAAAGCGATAGCAAACTTGCGCACAGGAAAGTGATTGAACAGGTGCTGTTTGATAAACTACAATGTTTCCCATTTCTTTGGCTCACATTTCTTTGACTCCTACTATTTTATCATAATCAAATACATGTCACATCCTTATTATTTTTTTGGTTAAAAAAACTCAATGTAGATAATTTATAGGTATTTGGGCTAGACCATTCCACCTAAATTATTATCGACTATGGGTCTGGTCACCTTCCATTATGACTGGAGTAATTCAATGTAAAAACTACTAATTTTGAATGGAACACCTTTTGTTACATTTGTATAGAACCTATCACTTCATGTCAAAAAAATCATAGCTGATGGAGAGAGAGAGATGGAATGAGATGAGCCATTTTCAGAGTGTCACAAAACTGTTGAAACCATAACAGGATTCCAGGATTCATACAAATAAAAATTTTAAAACAATATCCAAACATTCTGGAATTCTATTAGAAAAATATATAAAATACCCCATGAAATATATCATTTTTGTTAAGTAACTCTCTCTCTAGAACAAATTCACTCATATTCTAGATATTTGAAAAACCTCTGGTCAACTAACATCTGGACTGATATACTGACAGTTATAATTATTGTTTATTTATCTCTGATTCAATATTCTCTTGACTGATTCACATATGCTTTTGGAAGTTATTTCCATAAAAAAAATGTAATGAATGGTCAAGTTCCAGAAATGGAATTGAATACATTTTCATTTCATTTGAAATGAAGAAGTTGACGTCTATTTTGGTATGGTTCAGGTTCAACAAAACTGATCAAAAAAGATTAAGGATATATTTGAAGGCAAAGGACATAGATATTAGTAGCTATATGCCACATTATTTTCTAGAAAAATGTTTTCATTTCATAAAGACAATATCCTTAACTTTTTTCAATCAGGAAAAATTATAACAATTAACCTGAATAAGCAGCATATTCCCAAATTTTATTTTTCTGAAGTCTATGTTATAAAATTTAGGCAAGCCAATGGAGATATTGAATTAGTTACATTGATTATAACACATTATTCCAGATTATGTACAACAGCTGTGGCCTGATTCCTGCTAGATTCTTGATTTTGGTAGCCCATTTAATAGTTTGCATTGTCTTAATATGGAACCACCAGGAGAGTGTGAAAACCTGTTTGATGGGAGTGCTGAGGGATATAAGAGAGGAAGTATTAGACAGTCACCATACACAGTGAGTAAAAACATACACATCATCATATAGCATGAAACTAATAAGTCTAATTTTGTTATGGGCTGGTGAACCCTCGGGTGAACCTACATAAATATTCAGTGGTTTCACTTGCTGTGGTTTTTAATATTTCAGGTGGTTGACTGGACTTAGCCTCATGATAATGTTTTTATGTTTTGAAATATTAGCTTTTGTATGTGGTCTCACAATGTTTGATGGTAATTCTGCTTTGCTGTGTATCCTTTATTCAAATAGGTATATAATAATAATTTTATTTGGCAGCAGATATTTTTTTATACTACAATCCAGAATAATTTGAGTGACAGCCATCATATTTGCATACAGTGTTTCCACTTTTAGTCCAATTTTGTAGGTTAGTGGGTTGCTGCAACAATATCAAAAACAATATCAATGACGTCATCTTGAATGTGCTCATACATTTCATTGAATTTGTGAACAAAACTGGGTTGGGACTTGGAAGATAACTACATTAGTTACAAAATATTTTGTCTTTCAGTCCGCGGACTTTCTTAACTTTCTGCGGCAAAACACTCCTACACTAAATTTCTCATGAAGCAAAACTGACCAAACTTTCTCGAACTTCCTCAAAGTAGTCAAACTTCCACTAATTTTTCCAAAATTCCTTGTATTTTCCCTTCCTCGAACTTTATTAGCCCTGTGCACCAAACTTCGCACATTATAACCCATATCTATTTTGGGTTATCATCCACCAACAAAATGCATTCATAGATTGAAGTTGAAGTTGAGTGAAGGCAACCGTTAACTAACTTATAAAACCTCCTCTTAAGGACCTAACATCCTTGTAATATCTTTATTTATATTTTATTCTTAAGGTAATTGAACAAGTATCTTCAATTTTAAGTTTTCTTAATGTCAAATGAGTTATGATAAAACAGTTGTTGAAAATAAATTTATATATCAAAAACAATAGTAGTCGTGGACAAAGTATAGAATTCTACTCGCATATATTGAGCTATTATTCACCGAGGTTAATTTTGCCACTCCCTATGCTCGTGACATAAACTTAATCTTCGTGAATAATAGCCCTCATTATATGCTTGTTGAATAATATAGGATTAATATAGGGTGTCACGAAGAGTTATCAAAATCTACATATGGAAAATTATAATTGAGGCATTTGTGAGAATTGGAAGGGTGAATGAGGCAAAGGCATGTTCAAATCCGAAATTGCCATGTTTTGATAATTAATTTTTCTTGGTCTCTCAGGATTGAAGATTTGTTTCATACTTTGTTGCCAACATCATCCAACATTGGAATTCATTCCAAAATAAAAGAACTGGACAAAGAAAAATTTAATGATCTAACAAAACCATAATCTAAATAAAATAATTGGGCACTCAGGAATTGTACCAGAAAAGATGTATAAGTATCATGTTATAGATATTTTTCATAATGTTATTTATTTAAACAGTGTACCTATAACAAATTACAGGATGAAGATGGAATTATTCCTTAACATCAGTATTAGCTGTTGGTGGTCATTCTTTGGCTTGCATATTTCTAACTGGTTTGGTTCTGCATGGTTGGCAATGTGATTGGTTCTGGTGGATTTTCAGTTTTGGTTCTGTTGTCCCATTTGTGCATGATCTCATTATTGTTGGTGATATTCTTATCAACAGAAAATACTGAATATGCGGTTTTGTAATACTCTTTTTGATTCACTTGAAGTCATGTACCTACTTACCTACCATTTTCATATTACTTGATGGGTAATTAGATATCAATAATGCCCCACTACTTTCAATTTATTCATTGCCATGAATATGCGTATTTTTTATAGATAATATTTATGATCTACATTTCAGGTTCGGGATCTATGTGTGAAATAAATAATTTGGTTCAGATGTACTGAAAAAGTTTTGAAAATATAAATACACATTGTATTACGTGTATAATTGCTATATGGAATACATTAATACATAGATAGATGTGAAACATCAGGTGATTCGAAAGGTTATCATTCGTTTTCAATGATTTTAAACCAATTTTTGTTCAAGTATGTCGAATTTAATGGTTTTGAATCAACCTAAAAACGGTCACAGGAGCAAGGGTACATCACTGAATAAAATAAAAATTAATAAAACAAAAATGTGTCATTCATCTTACAGGCAGCCAGTATGATAACAGAAATAATCTCAAAGTCACTTGATATCAAAGTTTTGATAATATCTTGAGATTCGGACGCCGGGGACTTTCTGGATGATACAAAAATCGATGAGGAAAAAAATGGCATCAATATTTTGTGAAAATAATCTGTTCCCAGTGGTAGACATTTTAGCTATTCTCAAGGTTGGCGATGAATTGCTGAAATGTCCATTGCTCATCAGAAAAAGCTTTCAACCTGTTATTCATGTCATCGACTTATGTCACTTGGTATTCAAAAATGAACAAGAGTAATACATGACAAGTCCTTAATGCGCATGTTTCATGGGATCCAGTTCGATGTTGTAAATGAATTAACTTTAATTATACAGGGTGGAGACTTTAACTATAATAAATTCGCTATCGGGAGGTGAATATTTTTGCAGAAAATTTTCGACATACGTCACCTGAATTTTGCAAGTAATATAGAGAATATATCTCTTCAGGGGTTGCTGAAACCGTCTATACGAATTATTGCATAGATTTCGGTAGGATGTAATCCAATGTTCTGCGTGGCATATAGCCAGGAAAGTAATTGTTCTTCTCTTGATATCTACCATTTTCGTTCATTTTATGAACTATTGTGGTGATGACTTTGAGTTTCTCTCTTTTGTGAAGTTGATATTCCTTTTCAATTAATAAATTGTAAAATACTTGAGTAATCTATAGATTAATGTAGCCCGCACAACCCGCAAATTATTGAACTTGAAAATTATATTTTGATTTTATGCAATCCCAAACGTAATACAAACTGAAATTTGATCAGTACACTGGATTCCTACTTTTATCAGCTTTCCAATGAGGGGTCACAAGTCATAGGGTTGCATTTGAAAAGAAAACATATAGTTGATTTTAGCTACTCCTGAAGTGTTATATTCTTCTTATTGCCCGCAAAATGTGGGTAAATACATGTAAACGTTGACGTTTCCCTAGAATTTTTCGAAAAATCATTTACCTTCTTGCTAGCGGATTTCTTCCATAGTCTCCACACTGTATCGCATCAGCAGCCTAAGTAGTAGGTTATGTCGGTGGTGATGTCTTGAAAATACACCAACTCACAAATAAAACAGTATTGATGTTTTAGGTCCTTTGACGTTCTATTCTCTAGTAGTTTTCTGTCTGATCCATTTTGAGATTGATGGATAGAGAAATAATTTTGACTGGATATATTTCATTTTGGAAACAGTAACACTGATTAATTTTGTTTTCTGTTTTCGACATCCAATAGAAATTTTCAATTCAGTCATTCATATACGTTCAAGTCAATCAGAATATTAGTATTTTGTATCGAAGACTGGAACATTTGGCTACTCTGTTTTACCACTACCAAACCGATTTTTTTACCGCCTCTACACGTGTTTCGCTAACTATTTTAGCATCTTCAGGAGAAGATCAAAACTGAATAGTCTATTTCAGTGTGCTACTTATATACTAATTCAAAGGTACTAGGTATACAGGGTGGCCCACGGTCGATGGTACCTTAGACGTATACGGAAAACGGTACATTGGATTATCCTGAAAATTTGGTTACTCTAATAAGCGTTTGTGATCTTACGATTCAAAATCTTTTCAGTTAAGCAGCGTTGCCACTTTTACCAAAAAGTAGCATCATCTTTGTTATTTCAAATGGAACACCTTGTATTTTATTGCGTTTTCAGGTTCTCCTCGAAGAGCTTATTTCATCCATGTATCACACTTGGGGTCTAGCAGGAATTATTACAGAGATATAGGGTGTTCAAAATCGAGATTTTTCAACTTTAGGATTTTTTTGTGTCGAAACTATTCATCCTTGGTCAAAACGGCTCACATGTCCCTATCTCAACTGTTGATTAACTATCTACTGTAATTTATTGGGACATATACCGGGTGATCAAGATTCTGAATTCTGCACCACCCTTCGATTAACTATCTACCGACATTTAATTGGAAAAAATGAAGGATGGTCCAAGATTCAGAATTTTGATCACCCTGTATCTGTTCCTATTAAATGTCAGTTGATAGTGAATCAAAAGTTAAGATAGGGACATGTAAGCCGTTTTGATCGATAATGAATAGTTTCGACACAAAAAATTCCTGAAATTGAAAAATCTCGATTTTGAACACCCTATATCTCTGTAATAATTCCTGCTAGACCCCAAGTGTGATGCATTGATGAAATCAGCTCTCCGAGAAGAATCTAAAAACGCAATGGAATACAGGGTGTTCCATTTAAAATAACAAAGATGATGCTACTTTTTGGTGAAAGTGGCAACGCTGCATCGCTGAAAATATTTTGAATCGTTAGATCACAAACGCTTATTAGAGTAACCAAATTTTCAGGATCATCCAATGTATCGTTTTCCGTATACGTCTAAGGTACCATCAACCGTGGGCCACCCTGTACATATGTCCACCCAACTGTGAAAGACACTAACCGCCAAGTTGATGTTTTTCGTGGTTGAGTTCACATGTATATCACTAAACTATACAGAGGGTTATATGGAATAGGTCCATTCCGTCCATTGTCCTTATTCATTACTCTATTATATCTCTAGGCTTTCATATGCATCTAATTTCTTAACATCATTAACTTGCTCTACTAATTTGAGATTATTAATATGTGTACGTGTTATAATAATTGTGATTAAAAATGTGCTCCGCTACACACGATTTATCTAACCTACCATATTTCAAATGTGCTAGGTGTTCTTTGAACCTTGTTTAAAAAATGTATGAAAACAAGGTTTAACCAATTTCTTATGGAAAATATGGCTATGGCTGTTGAGTTAGAATTGAATGTGAATTAGATATAAATAAGTTCTACGAGAGACAGATATTTTAACACGCTCGCTTTGCTCGAACTTTAAGATATCTCGGTCATTAATCGCTTCATTAATACCTTATTTGGCTAAATATCTATTGTTTCAAGATTATTTCTCAGAGGTATTGATTTTCGAAGTGTAAATGTGAGATATACTAATCTCAATCTGAAGATATTTAAGATAAATCGCTCATTACATATTACATTTTATTAGTAGATATACTAACAACAGAAGAGTTTTGGAAGGTACTGTTCTGGTCTTATATAACTTGTTGATGATTCTGCTTTATAGCAGGAAAATATGAAAGTATTGTCTTTTTCTCATTAAAAGACTGCTTCTGACCAAGAATTTTCTCCAAGAATAATTGTTTTCAATACTCATGTCTAAGTTGGTCATAAACATAATAATATAAAAACTCAAATTGTGAAATAGATAGCAATTACCTGTTATTTCTAAGACGATATATTTACCTATTCAGTGAAAATAGTTATTGAATTTGTTTCAAAAAAGTTGAGGCATACCAGAACAATTCTGAATGTAATATAATCATTGCACAATTTTTGAAGGACATTTCTGTTGAACGGCCAGGATGGTCAAAACTTCTTATATTAGCTGGAGTTTCGACAACAGTAGGCCTTTCTGTACCCGTTGGCTACAACATTGGTGTCGTGAATACACCGGCAGAGGTAAGTTTCCCACATATCATTTTGACCAGAGTTTCTTAATGAATTTTATGTTTTTGTTTTGACTTTTGACGTTCCTGTACATATAAAACCTGTAACAAGCACTGACAGTTAGACATAACCACAAATGAATAGAAAAAAAGCGGCAACTGACAGCACATAAACGTACATAGTAAATAACATCAATCTCAAATTGAGAAGAAATTGGGAAAAATAATAAGATGTTAGGTTTTCTTAGGCATTACATCGATTTCCTTAACTATTTTCTGTTCATGATCTTTCTAACTCCTCCTTTTTCTGCTTCTGTTTGGTAGTCACAATTCCTATACAATGATATTTGTTTAAGTGGTAATGCTTCATAATCATTTGTGGTTGTCTGACTGCCACTGCTTGTGGAGTGTCCGTACTTTCGATTAATAAAACGTCAAATCAATTAAGGAACTCGATCTATACTTCATTCCAACTAAGAAGAGAGCATTATAATCCATAGGGAAGCGTTGACCGTCGCTATGATTATTGTTAATATTAGAGGCAATATTACACCTGCTTAATATTTTAACATAAAGATTGAAATTTTCTTTGTGGGAAGATGAATACCCATATCATCACATTTCATGTATGAGTTTTTTTAACAATCATGAGAATTAGAGTCACTGGATGGTATTAGTTTGATAAGAGTTCGGACACAGCTGAACTTTTGTCCTTTTCTATTTTCTATAATACAATGGTTTAAATGAATAAAAGAATAAGATATGGTCTTTTCAATTTCCTTAGTAGCGCCTGATTATCAGATACGATTTTAGAGCTTATATTTTCTGTCAAATCATGCATAGCCGTAGATGGACAATGGATATAGAGTACAAACACCCACTTCAATTTATAGTGATACACTTTTAGCAGAAAAACTGTTATATGAATACCATCCAGTGACTCTAATGAGAATGACTGATTTCGAATTAGGCAATCCTACAGAGGCAGCGCTACCTGCTATCTTCTTATTCGGAATGTTTTGTTTCGATTATATTTGAACTGTGATTTTGTTATAGATCATCAAATCGTTCTGTAATGAAACCGTACGTACAAGGTTCGACACCCAACTGTCCGAAAACGGTTTGGAACTGATGTGGTCCTTCATTGTCTCCGTATTTTTGGTGGGTGCTGCCGTAGGGTCGCTAGGTGGCTCTGTGTTGGCAGACAAAATCGGACGCAAAGGTGTCGTCATTTTGTGTACGATTCTTGCCGCAATTGGAGCCGTCGCCTTTTGGACAACGAAAGCGATCAACAGCATAGAATTGCTATTGGCAGGACGAATTTTAGTTGGATTATCTGCCGGTATGTTTTATTGTTTTCTACCTACTACAATTCCCAGTTCTTTTTTTCAATTGCATTACTTTGTTGGTCCCAGTTCTGGAACCAAACGCCCCATGCCAATAAGTCGAAACTTGTGCAAACACGTTGAATTTCAGAAAGCGTCAATTCAGTTTCAGAAAGGGGCGATACTCGAGTGCAATAATTTTTTTTTCTCAATAGAATCATCTCAAATACCATTCAATTTCATATTTTTTGAGAATTTTTCCCTCGATTTTTAGGTGCTAAAATCATCAATAATGCCACGGTAGTTTTCAAAAGGCTAGAAATTTGCCGCCAGTATTAGTGATATTAATAATTAGCAATAAAATTCAATTGTCTCAAAATGTTCCCTTATGATTTGTGTCGTATTGCTTATAATAAATTCATGTAAATAATAATTATATTAATTCACGTGACAACACGGCGCACGACATGTGAGCGTGGTCTTGTCAGTTCTCAGCATACAGCACAATGTTGCCAAGTCTCCAAGATTTACATGATATTTTGTTATGGAGAATAAGAAATATTTGGACATGCTGGTGCCTCCTATTAAATTTTATTCAACGACAGGACTCAAACATCGTTTTGATAACTTGATTTTAATTGGTGACTTGAAAACTTTGCTTCTTGAGTGGAAATGGAAGATTATCTGACCAATAACAAAACAGCATGAAAACTGACGTCACCATTTATTCGTCGTATCGCCAAATGGCGGCCATGAAGGTTCGTTTGAAATGAGCTCTGAAATTCAACAATTTCGAAGAACACATAGATTCATTATTTACATAAAGAAAGCGTGTGAACTGTTCAGAATGGTAACTTGTATTTCAGAAAGTATCAATTGCATATCAGAATAGTCAATTGAATGTCAGAAAGTGTCAATTATAATTCAAGATAGTCATTTGTATTCCAGAAGGCGTCAATTGTATTTCAGAATAGTCATTTGAATTTCAGATAACGTCAATTGTATTTCGGAATAGTCAATTGTATTTCAGAATAGTCAATTGAATTTCAGAAACCGTCATTTGTATTTCAGAAAATATTTGGGTTTTCAGTGCTCCCAAGAGATTCGTGAAGTGATGTTTTCAAATTAATAAACCTAGATTCGTTTTTTAGGTAGTCTTTGATGAACAGATTACAGAAATCTATAGTCGAGGACCATTAGAGTGAACTCAGTTATATTGCCTTCCATCAGGTTCTGATTGTTTCGAGGAGAATTAATAAGAATGTAAAATTGTTAAGACATATAAATAGTGCGACCATGAAGTTAGATATAAACATTATTGAAGCACTGAGCTCCAGCAAGATAAATTCCAAGCTTGTATGAACTGTATTGAATCGCTATAATGCCTGGGTGGTAACAACAGAGTTATTCTGCTGTGGGTGCCTGGACATCAGGAGGTGGAGGGCAACGAGAAAGCCGACATCTTCGCCAAACAGGGAACCGAATCTGTGTTCATAGGACCAAAACCGTACTTTGCAGTCACCGCAAATGCAGTCAAAACAACTATCTCGGGACGGGGGGGGGGGGGAAGACTCACCTACTGGTCTGATTTACCAGGATCAAGGTGTTCCTACCTAAACCATCGAAAAATACAACCAGGCAGATCCTAGAATGAAGCAGGGGTAAGCTGCGAATTGTGACAGGACTTCTTACAAGACACTGTCGTCTAAGATACCACCTAGGAAGGGTGGGTCTGAACCAACTAGGGGACTGTCGGTTGTGGTGTGTAGAAGACGAAACGGCTGAACACATACTATATGTTCATGTTCGGTTTTAGACTAATCTCACCAAATTCAACCATGAACTTTGTAGAAAGATGTGGTTTGTACAGTGAACTGTAACCTTTAGGGGTGAGCCACAATAGATATTCGCCCCACTCACATGGAACCTAACCTAACCTATAGGAATCGGCCTTGATACCAGCAAACTCCCTCGCCAACTTCTATCGCATACAAATTATGCTTTCTGAAATTCAATTGAGGCATTCTGAAATACAATTGACGCTTGCTGAAATAAACGTGACTATTGTGAAATACAATGGGGAAGTTTCCTCCATATGAATTTTTATATAATAAGTTCGGAACTCCTCAGTTTTATGTCCACGCTGTACAGAATGGCGATCGATAAAGTACAAGTCGTTTTTATTTTTAAAATAAAGCAAATTTCTCAATTTCGGGGCGGCAAACTGTGACTTACATTCTGAATCTAGGCTGAATGTTGGTGATGATGAAGAATATAACTAGCAAATAGCTAACGAATTGAAAACGAATGAAAAAAATAGAAGAAGAAGACAACTTGGCGTTGTTATTGTTGATTATATCATGAAAAATAACGATGGTCAACTAACTTACAAAAGTACTATAAATAAACTGCACACATAGACTAACGAGTAATTGCATATCAAAAAGTAAAACTGGTGAGCAAAAACATACATAACCACGAAATCAGATCAGCTACCGGTGTGCCTGTCAGTATTTTGTGTGGTATAGTCGGGCTCAAAGTATTATGCGCAGATGAAATATATAATTTGCAACTCCCCTAGAAAATAGATCCGCTTTTTATAGGAACGAATTCATTTACAGAAAAAGACTGACAAGTTGTGATTATCATTTTGTGATATAACGAAAGTAAAAAATTCAACTTTATCCAGCAAATAAGAGATTCAAGAAAATTATTCATAATATTCTGCGAAGTAGGATTGAAAACCTATTATATCCTATTGCTGTCGTGCTGTAGACATAATGTATTCAAAGATCAATTTCCGGAAATCTAGAGATATTGATGATGCCGGCATCGTTGTGCGGATTCAGAAAATCGTATTTTGAGTCTACGTGAATTTGGCTTTTCTAAGAAGTACCTCATAAGGATTGTGAAGGAGCCAAGTTCATTTTTTATTTATTCTTTTCTGAGATGAAATAAGATCTCAAGAAAAAAGAAAGAATGCTTATACACTGTGTCCAAGATAAGGATGTCTATCATAAGGTAAAGTTGATGATGGTTTCTCCGAAACGAAACGGTGTACGTAAAATCTCTCAACGCTGTTTTGTAGAACTAAAAAAATGGCAATGAGAATGTGTCTTGTTGTTTTCCTATCTCTTTAAATAACGTCAGGAAATTAAAACGATCTCCATGATAGACATTCCTGTCTTGGACACAGTGTATATTGAATATTTACGAACCTCACCAACAGACAAAAATTTCAATATTGGAAACGTTCTCATTGACGCTTTCTGAAATACAACTGGAAAAGGTGGTGTTAATTATATTCTCACTCGCGCCTCTGGAGGCAGAATTTGTCCAATCAACAGAGCTTCATAATACACGAATCTAATTAACGGTTTGTTCGCGTTCAAATCAACATTCTTAAATCAGACATATGCGCATTGACACAGAAGCATTTTTCTAAGACTACTCGGTTTTTCCCTGATTTTCTGTTTTTTGTTCCCATCATATGGTAACAGGGATTTTGATAATATATATACGAACATGTTCGGGATGGTTTAGAATCGGAAAGCATTACGAGCCTCTGGCAAGAACTGTCCATGACTGTCGTGAATAATTTTATATGCGCATGCTTTTTAATAAAATGAGACAAATTCAAACAAGATGAATAATGGAATACAAAAAAACTTTCGGGAATATTGAATTCGGCATATGAGCTCCAGACCATCATCCTCTTCAGGTTCAGATGATGATAACAAACGTTCTTGAACATATTGTATTGTAAAAATATTATAGTGGAGAAAGTGTATGTTCAGGAGCTAGTTTTCAGGATTCTTCAATGTCAATGTCAATATCAACATAACACATATACGCGTTTTCGTTTTTCTGATTTCCAAACTATCCTAGAATTGTTTCGGATTGAATTTGATGCGCACCTGATTCGAACGCGAACAAACCGTGAATCATGTAGTCCTGGGTGTTTATTTGTATGTGTGTTCAAGTCAAGTTCATTCTTCCAGTTTTTTTGGTGAATATTTCGAAATAAATCAGTTTCAGAAAAAAATCATGTACAAAACCTATGTAAATAAAATTCCACGAAAAAATGGTTGAATTAATTTTCTCCATAGGACATTTAGATTTCGCGGAAAAGAAGAAGGAATTATCAGCCAGTCCACCTCTGCGCAATATACATCATTCATGTGGAATAGTTTATTTGGTGTAATATTTTTTGCATTGGCACTTCCATATGTAGAAATTGAGTCCATTTGGTGTGAAAAATGATGAATAATTAATATTATTGATGTATTTCGCAGGATTAACAACAAGCGTTGTTCCGATGTACTTAACAGAGTTGGCTCCCCTTCATTTGAGAGGTGCTACAGGGGTGCTGTGTCCATTAGGGGTTACTATAGGAGTATTATTCGGGCAGATCATATCTCTGCAAAGTGTATTAGGTGAATATAATTTTTATAATACCTAAAGTCCTCATCATGAAGTGAAGTACATTTCAAAACTCTCAGCTGTTACTGTTGATATAAACATCAATATAAAGTTGGAGAATTTTTAGCGATATGGGAGATTTTTTGAAAAAATTTACTGCTCTCTAGCTTTTTTTTTAAACTTCAACACCCTGTATCGGAAACGAATCGTTTTCGGACATATTTATATGAACTTTTTTTTATTTCGACCCAAAAAATATGACCTTGAAGTTTCGTGCAATATTAATGAAATACCCTGTATATTGTGCTAAACTATATCCGTGCTTTCATTGAATATAACCGCCAAGGCGATATTTTTCAGGTACTGAAGCCTTTTGGCCTCATTGCTTAGCAGCCTTTGTACTACCTGTTTCAGTATCTGCATTAACACTGCCATTTTTGCCAGAAAGTCCGAAATATCTGTTTGTAATTAGAAAACAGCCACATGTTGCCTTAAAACGTAAGTTTCATTAACTATTTGTATACAACGTGATTCGCCATGAAAAATTCTCACCCGTAAAACTACTAGTTTTGAATATTATGAAACACTCTCATCAACTTGTCTTCTTCATAAGATATTCATTCAATTTGATATTGTAGAATTGCAGAAAATCAGGGATATGAAAGAAGAATTTCTCGTTGGGGAGATTGAGGATTTGAAATTAGAGCAGCAAGACAATGAGTTAAATGCTGGGCATACTTGGAATGTACTTAAAGTGCTGTCTGACAAATCGCTTTTATTGCCTCTGGTCTTGGTTTGCTCCCTACAAGCAGGACAACAGCTCAGTGGAATCAATGCTGTAAGTATTTTTATGAAGATTACATGTATTTGCCGAAATGATGACACGAATTTTGGCCAAATGGAGAACTTGAGTTGAACCAAATTATCACGCCATTTTGAAAAGTTCTCTAGATTATGGAGAAAATGATCTCAAACAAAACTCTCTACTTTTTTCACCATCTTATAGTTTTAATCACCTTTCTTAAGAATAATATCACATGACACTTCCATCTTTCTCAAGAATCTTGTACCTATTTGGCGACTGAAAGTAGCCTCTCAACTAACTTTGGCATTTTATTCGTAAGCTACCATAAAAATCTTTGCAATTTTGGGAATTATATAAGAAGATCAACATAAAATGTTCAACCTAGACACGAAATACCGGAAGAAGGATATCGCGATTTTATCCGATAGCCAAACAGCCATCAAAGCGTTGAGCTCTTCTAAGCAAATAGAATGAGCTCGGCAGTAACAGTAAAGTGTTCCTCCTCTGGGTGCCAGGGCATGTCGGAATGGAGGGGAATGAACAAGCAGACACTCTGGCACGACAAGGGGCTTCAACGCCACTGATCGGACCAGAGCCATGCTGCTGCCTTGGAAATTCCTATTTCCAAGGAGAACTTGAAAAGGCGGAAGGAGCCTTGAGAGCCAGACAATGGAGAAGACTTCCAGGACTGCGGCAAGCTAAAGATCTCGGAAATTTCAACCGAGAAAGAACTAAGACACTGATAAACCTCAGCAAAGGAAATCGCAAAGCAATAACGGGATTTCAAACGGGGCATTGCAGACTCAAAAAACACCTAAGGAAGCTAGGCTTATAGGAGGACGGCAGATTCTCTGAAGAAGAACTAGAAACACCCCATCACAGACTGATGGAATGTGACGCTGTAAATCACAAAAGATTGAACATACTGGGAACACACCTGCTGAAGAAATACTGCAACTAGATCCCCTCAAAATCCTCAAGTTCTTGAGGGAATTGAATCTTGAAGCAGATGGTGGAAGCGCATCTGTCACCATCCAACCTACCAATACCAATAAAATGTTTACTTTCTTGTGAATAGTTCTTTTTGAAAGTCGTTAAGAGCTGTCAGAAGAATTATATTTCACATGAGAATTGAATTCAGAGCATTTCATAGAGGGTATATAATCTCAATAATTGTTTTTTTTTCCAAAACTCACCTGAGGAATCACATTCATTCAAAAATGTTCTCAAATGAGAAGACTTTTTAAGCTGGGAGAGAATTATGTTATTCGCGAGAATCACGAAGTGTGCGGTGGCTAACTTAACAAGTCTTGCGAGTATGAACAACAATGACAAGAAATCATGGCGATATTGTTTTTAGTGAATTTTGATTATTTTTTTTCCGATGTCCACTTTGTGTCTGAGTGCTGGTCATTGCTTTTATTTTTCCGAAACATGCAGCAAGTTCACAAAACATTTGAAACGAAATCCAGGAAGTTTTGTTCAACCACCAAAATTCCTTCAGTACCATCAGTAAATATTCCGAAATCATCACATGAAACATTAAAAATTGAGATTCTCCTCATATATTTCATAAGTAAATAAATTTGACGATCCTCAAAAACAGCTGGAATTGACAATAAAGAATCAGAATTAGATCATGAAGAATTAGACAGTCAGTTAGTTTCAAATAATAGATAACATGGAATCAATCAATCAAAGTGATGTTATAGAAAATCATACTGGACCTATTACAAATGATTATATCTCGGATGATATAGGCTCTAGTTCCATATAATATATTATACTGAAGCACAGGTGGAGACATTCTAGAGTGATGGGTGTAATTCAATGATGGAGATGACATTTTCTAGATGTCACAATAACCACAAGAACAACAGCAATCAGAAAACCAATTGCCTGAAATGGAAGAAGTGGGCATAGAAATTGGACAAGGAGGAAAACTTCTACTAGTTTATGTGAATTACAATGGTGAAAGATATCATTCCCAAATATCAAATGACAATGGCACAATAATGTGTCCAAAATTTATGAGTATATGTTTTGCTGTTGCCCCATTTTGATGAAAATTCGCAAACTGTATTTCTTGTTCTTGTTGCCGTTGTTGTTATGCTGTATTTGGTTGTATCTCGTGAGAATGAAGAAAAATCAGTATTACCTTTCATAATTTGGTATTTTATTTGAAAATGATTTATTTGTTAAACTGCATATTCCAGAACCTCATTTCTGCCTCATGAAAAAACTCGAATTATTGCATATTGCATGAACTTTTATTGTTTCCAATGAAGAAGCCAGTACCTACCAGGAATATTTTATAAATCACAATTAGAATTATTAGTCCCAATTGCGGGGCCTCCTTGTTCATGTTGATAGATGAATTCTTAGTAGGCTCTCCAACTATATCTTCTTTCCAACCCCATTACTACAATTTCATCTCCTTCCTAACAGCCAGTGTTATTTCTTGATGAATTCAATTATTTCTTCATACCATATTGTTATAATACCTGATTCCTTATGATTTCATTTCAATCCATGCAAGTGTTTAGTGGACAATTTCGAATTCCGGCCATTCCATATGTTTGAAAACAGTGGAATTGTAATGTAACATCAATGATGAACACCGCCATTGTCCATATTCAAAATGGCAATTTGCCAACAAAAAGTCATTTTCTCCATACTGGAAACTAGCTATGTATGTCAATTACGAACATTTCTCGAAGTCAACTTATTATTTACGATTTTGCAAACGGATTTCGAAGTAACCAATTTGCAATGGGTACATACGGCAATGTTTTCGTTGTTTATACTCAGTTTGAAATTTGACGTTGATTTGACGTTTAAAATTGTCATCTATTGGTTCGTGATTTTCGCTGATTATTAATCCCAGGCTACGTTCAGCGGCAGGTCGGACCATGGTCAATTCGTTCGTTCAGACCGTAGTCAGACTATGGACCAGCCCGTGGTCCACGTAGTCTCATTTAAAAATCGGGCCAAGCACGGTCTTAATCGTTCAGTCCATTGTTTCCGTCAGTAAACGTCAGTTATATTTGACATGCATTTATGACATGCAAATGCATTTGAATTTGAACGAATCACTTCGCGGGTGAGATAACATTATGGCCAGCAAGTTCAAGAGATATTGCTCTGTGCCGCAGTGTAAACAGTATAAAGATACAAGAAGTATATACACAGCTTTTCACCCAGATGCAGAATCATACAGAATGTGACAGAACATATAAAAAAATGAACCGTAAATAAACACTGTGTTTTCAATATCTACTTGCAGTACCTATCATTATGATAAAATATGTTATGAAGATTGATACGAATTATTTCATACAGTAGTTCATAAGGTTTGAATATATCAAATCATTACAATGAACCGTAAATAAACACTGTGTTTTCAATATCTACTTGCAGTACCTATCATTATCCTTCCGAACAACAAAATCACTGTCGCTCAAATTCTCACTCATTTTTGTTTTTATTCACAATTTCACCTGGCATTTCAATACAGCGTTCATTTTTTGACAACCGAGTCGAATTTTCTTTTGTTTGACAACTGAATTCCTTGGCTACCTAGATGTGTTCTAGAGTTAGTGATCGAAAAAAGTACCATTTTCTATAACCCTTCATGAAAAAACGTCATTTTGTGATAGAATACCTCCAGCTGAAACGTGAGAGAAATTCTTATAATGTTAACTTTCGTTTCTATTGACGAAAGTTGAATAAGTGACTTTGTTACCTGTCGACAGAGATAAAATACCAAACTTTTTTCTCGTCACAGAGAGAATATTAAGATAAAAACGGCATGGTAGAAAAATTATAGTGTTTCACTCGTTGAAAACATTAGCTGCGCATTTGCTGGTAAACTGTTCTCTCGCTTCAAAAAACGTTACTTTCGTTACTCGTTAAACAATATTCCATATCTAGTTCTTTCTCCATTATTATCCAGATTATTATAAAAACTAAATAGGCGTATTGAATACCTACGAAATAACTATTCAATTACTCTGGGTCTTCTAAAACCATCTCAATCTAGCAATAATGTTCTTTTTCAGGTGTTTTACTATTCAAATAAAATCTTCAAGGAAGCAGGATTGAGCAAATCAGAAAACGAGCTGGCCACTATTGGGACTGGCATTTGTAATATGTCAATGGCAGTACTTTCGATATTTGTCATGTCAAAATTCAACAGAAGAATCTGCATACAAATAAGTCTGCTAACATCTGCATTTTTCTTGATTTTGCTGGGAATAGCAATAATCTACATTGTAAGTATCATTTCCCATTTCACTCATTTTTGTTTCTATTCATAATTTCACCTGGAATACAGCGTTCATTTTCTGACAGCCGAGTCGAATTTCCTTTTTGTTTGACAACTGAATTCCTAAGCTTCCTAGATGTGTTCTAGAGTTCGTAATTCTGATAGAATACCTTCAGAGAAAACGTGAGAGAAATTCTCATGATGTTAAAATATTCGTTTCTATTGACGAAAGTTAAATAAGTGACTTTCTGTTATCTGTCCAATCAGAATCGACCATTTTCACGGTATCTCCTGTATAACTTTTTTTTTACTTTTTTATTTTTTGTTTTGTGAAATAATCGGACTTGCTTTAGCAATACATGAGCCGAATCAACCCTCACGAGATCAACTATACAACTATCCTTTTCAGCGATAATATTTTTGACATAAATTTATAGCGTCAATTATAGTTATTAATATTATTTAATTTTGACGGCACGGATTTCTGTATTATTCATTGTCTAATTCAATCATGAAATAGTCATAGTGATAAGTGATAAGTAATGCTATTTTGCCGGAAATATTCGGTGATTGTTAAAACAGCTTCTTGCCTATTACTTTTGTGAATGACACTGTTTTATCAAAACTATCGAGCCGTAGGCGAGAAGCTTTGGAACTATGTCATGAGCAAATATAAAGCAGCAATCTGTAGAATATTTGCAGGAAAATAGTACCACGAGTTTTATTATACACCAATATGATGAAAACACACTAGCAGATTAGATTTCACAAGTTAAATGATTTCTATGATTGATCAAATGACGATTAAATAGGTTACATTCTGTTTTCTCGGAGAACTATTCATATTTGATTTTAATGTTACTTACACATAAGAAAGGCCGAAATCAAAGAAACAAGATGACGGGCACTAGTAAGTCAGATTAATTTTGACAGTTCAATGTAAACACGGTTTTATCGAGGACCATGCAGTGTTATCAAAATAAAACCGAATGATTTGCTAGAATTTCGCATTCGCATTGCGAAAATATTCCATGCTGAATTTAGTGCAAAAATGTGCCTGTGATAGGTAGTATCATCACTTCTGAAAAAAAAAAATTGATGTTGTATCCGTCATTCGGTTGCCCCCTTACGAGCAACCCTCAGAAGTCTTCGAGAGTCTTGTGCGAGCAAGGAATGACGGGGGCCTTACCTTTTAACGTGTGATCCCAAACACTTTCTTGGGCCATCAGAAAAATTTCTGTAGTCGACGGGAATCGAACCCACGACCGGCAAGCGTATGCGGATTAGAATATAGACACTCTGTCCGCACGGCTACCTGACCACCCTGGTATTACATATGAAAATAATTATATAATAATAATAATAATAATAATAATTTATTTCCAAAGAGAAATAATACAAATGAGAGAAAAAAAAATTGCAGACATGTTCTATGGAACACTTTTTTTCTCATTCAAGAAATCATACTCCTGGGTGCCTTACTTGAGTATCGTCGGAGTGCTAGGCTTCGTCCTCTGCTACGGCCTGGGCTTGGGCCCCATACCCTACTTCGTGGGATCTGAATTATTCGAAGTCGGACCGAGGCCGAGCGCCATGGCGCTAGGCAGCATGTCCAATTGGGGCGCCAATTTCGTCGTGGGATTGACGTTTCCTCTCATGCAATCGACCATTGGGGCTTCCTCGTTCTTCATTTTTGCGGGGTTGGTTCTGGTTCTGTTCGTGTTATTGAGGTGAGATTAGTTTTAGGTGTTCGCGCATCTTTCAACGGAGTAAACTGAAATCTTGTGGGAAAGGAGAACTGGGAGGACTGGGAAAGTAGTGATCAATCATACTAGAGTCTAGCCATAGCACCATAGCGAGGTAATATTGCGCATTGCTCGCTGGGCGCGATAACTTGCAGCTACACAAAAATAAATATGAAAAGGAGTATGAATATTAAAATATTGTGAAATGATACATTAAGCAATTGCTTTCCTAGTTGCTATCATGGTACCACGTACATTCATCTATCGAAGAGGCCCTATCAATCAAAAGTTTTACAGGGTGGTCCTTGGAATCATGACACACCACAAATCGATTTATTCAGATAGAACATTCTACTTTTCATAATTATGTAGGTTTGTAGTACATAAAATATTGAATCATCATTCTCAATCACTCCATCCCTTAGATACCCTAATTATACATAACTATTACGTCTTTGAATAATATACAATCGCACAACTTTGAACACTGATGTGAGGATACATAATTCCACAAAAATTCCCCCTTCCCTTGCAAAAATAATATCAGCGATCAGAACGTTTCTCGTTATTTTATAACAACGAAGCAAACTTGGGTGGATTTCTGAGAGTCTGGAGGAAATGTGACGTTCAACCTCAAATATCTGGAAAATGGGTTGTTGGCGATTGTTAACTTTTTTTTTCAAATGGGATTGAATATTTTTCAATTTTTTTCTATACTAGACTCCTTTTCTGAATACAATGAAGTATGGAAAGTTGACTTTCGCACAAAAATAGTTGAAAATGTATGCTCTAGAAATGGATCATTCCTTACTTATTCTTGTTTGTAGTTTCTTAAGATAATAATTCGTTTTTTTTTAATTGTTAACATTATAATGTATTTTCTTATTAGGAACGGACTCAACCTTCAATATCTCAATAAAAAATGTATGATAAAATCAATTTCTTGTCGACAGACTCATTTTTTTCATTTAATTTTCCGCAAATGTCAACTTGTTATAACATCTTTGTATTGAGAAAGAAATCTGAATCAGGAAAAAAATTATATAATTTATGATGCTCGATATGAGGCCATTCGAAAAAAAAAGTTGACATCGATATCGTTAGAGTTCAAATTGGAAAATAAAAGTTAGGTCCACCTTGTATGTATTATCTGATGAGTCATTTGATTTTCATTTTAGTTTTTTTTTTAATCGGATTATAAATATCGGCGTTATAACTTGAGCGTTTGATTGATTGATTGATTGATTTTCTTTATTACCCCAAGAAACATTTCTGTTTATGATAGGGATACATAAATACATATAAAAAAATAATAATAAAGGGTTAACTAATGAATTCCACTCAGTGGAAACGAATTAATATTGTGTCTTAAGATTAAAGTTATATTTCATTCCTAAGTAATCAAATCATGCCATATATTTTTCATTCAAATTATCCTGAGCAAGTATTTTTTAAGATTGATTTTAATCCTTCTTGCATCATGTATATTTTTCAACTCATTCGGCCTATATATCCTATAAATAGGAATATGTGTATTATTAAATTAACTTTCACGTGTAATCACATAATGATACCTCATTATGTAACAACTTAGTGAGATTATTTGATATTTCCAATATTTTCAAGCACTAAAACAAGACTGCCCCATTAAAAAAATAATTTACGGTGGGCCACAACCGTCATTTTGAAACTTCAAGCTGTAATTTTCCATTATTAGGTTTTCAAACTATCAAATTTCTTTGCGATAAACTAGGTGGTACAAAAATGAGTAGGAAAAGAACCAACTTTAGACGGGCAGTGTACTTCTCTACTAGGCAGTTTTGATGATATGAATTAATGAAAACGATAAACAATACAACAAATTTTGTATGGCTCTATCGTTATGTTATAAAGATTGTTCTATTTTTTATCATAGGCTATTCATGCCGAGTTGAATAAGATGTTTTATCCGAAAAATTCACTTGAATTATCGATTTATAAGCAGTTCCACACAGGCCCTCAGCATGTGATGCCTTTTTCGGAAGGAATAAAAAAAAATCACTCCTTAATTATTAGTTACTCTGAGTTGAAGAAACATTTTCCGTTTCTCAATACACTATGGTTCATTTTAACTAAGAAGGCAGCATTCGGAACCACAGGAAAGCATTGATTGGTTAATATTAGAGGCAACATTACACTTGCCTTATATGATGATTCAATGTAAACAATATGTCTGGCACTCTTGATGACGCGCCTATCCCCTCTCTCGTCGCACACTGCGCAGCAACTAGACAACCTCTATCTTCTACTAACCTTGGCTACGGCTTTGGTTTGGGACTCATACCCTACTTCGTGAGATCAGAGCTGTTTGGATTGACGTTTCCTCTCTATTGGGGATGATCTTATCGTCATATTTCATTTCTTTGTCGTATATTGTTGCCACAATAAATTCTGAAAGTAAATTCGAAATCATATTGCAATTCAATCATTGGAATGGCCATGATTCTGAATTAGGCGTTATATATTGTGATTATATTATCATTATACCGGATGACATAGACTCATGGTATCTCCCTTTTTTCCTTCGTTTTTTTTGCTTTATTTCTGAAATTTGGAACATCCAATATGCTCACTAGAGGGCACATTCTCACATTTTTTGAAGTTTTAGGAATTCAAGGATACCGGGTTATTTCAAATGATTACGAAGATATTTGCGTTCGAAGGTTCCATAAGCTTGATGAGTGTGACAGAAAGTATCACATATCACCATAGCAATGCGAAAGTAGAAACGAACAGTTATATCAAAAACAATTAAATGTATATCACTTTCCACACTAGTAATGTAATATAATATTTCATGGAATGTATAATGAGGATCCACCATACTGCAGGACCAAAACAGCACCATCACTGATTGAAGTACTGGATACTGCACTGCACTACACTAAAACACTAGACACAAATAAATTACCATGCTCCAACCACAACTTTGGAGCACAGATTCAAAAAATCAAATGGACAGACACGAAAATCAACAAATTATGAGACTATTGTGATCAAGAACTCATGGAGTTTCTGGCAAACCAAGCAACAAATAAATCTGAAAATCTCCTGATGTATTCAGATTTACCAAACTAGCAGTCCTAATACCGCCAGCTAGATTTCAATGCAAACAAAACACAAGCATGCCTTTTCTCTAGAAAAGCCAATCTCACTGTGCCCAACATGAGCTTGTCAGGATTAATCATATCTTTGAAGAAATCCATTTCGATACTTCGTATTACTATCAGCAATAACCTTTCTTGGGAAAATCACGTGAGATCAATTATTGCTAGAAGTGCATCAAAAACTTGGTTTTCTGTTTCGGGCCAGGAGCTATTTCACCTCCAGTCAGCTGTTCATGATCTATAAGGCACAGATCTGACCTGTCCTGGAATACTGTTCCCATATTTGGAGTGCAGCACCCAAACATACCCTGAAACTGTTGGATTCTGTCCAAAAAAGGGCAATTCGTCTCGGTTGATGCCTCGCTAACAAACTCACTCACTTCTCTGTAACACCGTAGAAAAGTTGGCGATCTGGCTCTATTTCATAGATATTTTTACGGACGATGCTCTTCTGGAATATCAACAATTGTTCCTCCCTAGACAGTCCCCGCGAGATTAACCCGACGAGTTGAGGCTTCGCACCCCTTCGTGGTCACTTTGAAGACCTGCAGAACATCTCTTTTCAAACTCGTTCATCCAACGAACAGCGAGGCTCTGGAACACATTGCCATGGGAGGTGTTCCCCGAGGCATATAACCTCCAGAAATTTAAGAAGAACACCAATTCCTACCTTATTTCCCTTGGTTCTCACGATGTTCTCTGAACATTACAGGTTATCCCTTTTCGTGGAAACCAGAACATAAAAAAAGCTAAGCGTAACCTGGCCCAACAAAAATCTGATCGGAATTTTATTTCTTCAAAGGCGTCTTGGTTAACATGATCTACACTTCGAAAACATTGTAGACGAAGTTACCGCTTTTACTAGAAATTGACATTGATTTTTCAAATGGATCACCCTGTATATAATATTGTTTTATGATTTCTGATCACTCACAACAAATGAATGTATTGTTTCCCTATGCCTATCTGTTTAGGAGATGAGAAATATTTTTTTTAACAAACGTGTACTTACTTCAATAAAGGCTGATAATCTCGAATTCTCTAGTGTTTTTACGATGAAATTTGAAATAAAGTGGAGTGATACCAGATAGGAGGGTATCACTCCACTTCATTTCAAGTTTCATCGCATTTATTGAAGTACCTTTGTTAAACAAAATCGAAATTAATTTCTATCTCCCAGACGGTAAAAGATAAAAAAATAGTCCATCAAATTGTTGGGAGTGTTATAAGAAATCAGAAAATGATATTATATACAGGGTGTTCCATTCGAAAAATAGAAGTTGCTGCTACTTTCTAGTAGAAGCTACAACGTTGCATCACATTTTAGACGTGTAGATCATGTAAATTCATACATACCATCAAATTTTCAGATATATTTTTTCATCATATTTTCCCTATTGTTTCCTGACTCTCTCTCTCTCCCGTTCCCTCTCTCTTAACGATTTTAAAATGAATAATAATATATATGATAATGTTCTTGTTTCTTATGGAATAAATTGAAATTGAATTGAGAAATTATATACGATATGGCGTATATATTGAGTGTATTTCAGTACACTCCTGCTGTGGAAGTTAAATCTTATTTCTATGTAGAAATGGAGTGCTTTCATAGGTGAATATTTTGGTAATTGAAAAAAAAAATAATAGTAACAGTTTTCAAACATTAAACATTACATACATAATATGATCTATCAGTTCTTGAAAAAATTCATATTGTTTAAAAAGAGGGAAATTCCGATTGGTGCTTTATGCATACTTTTACATAATGTCGTTTTATGACAATTCATTCTTGACACAGATGCCAGTAATATCGGCATTGGTGGAGTCCTTTCGCAGTAT